CCGTCCTATCTTGTTTTAAAATGGAGAAAAGGCTTCTCAAAGTATACTTCCTTGGAACGCCTGTAACTTTTCCTGTAGCGACGATAGACCCTTACTTGTCCGGACAAAGTTATACTATTTTGAGTGCTCTACAAAAAAGTCAACGGCTGGTCGGCTGGGGTTCGGTCCTCCTCTTGGGTCTTGGGCAAAATTTCTTAGGGGCTAGAAGGGGCGCAGCCCCTGGAAGCCCCACTACCTTTTTTTTTATTTAAGTCCAAAATTAACAAATTGTAAAATATTTTTGTAAAATAGTGCGGATTTATTCATTCCCAAGTATGCATATATAAAAGAAATGAATTATTAAAATGAAAACTCAATGAAAGGTGTCAAATTACTAAACTCTCGGATTAATTTTTTATATTTTTATAATTTGAATCAAAATACAATGTATAAAGCTAAATACTTGATTTTCAAAAGATTAAAATTGGAAAATAAAACAATCAATATGAAATAATGCTATTCAATGCATACCAGTACAAATATAATGGTGATGATTACTATGAAATTTCTAACAACTCAATATTGCGTTTATTGTTTGTATTTATGGAAATGAAATAAATTTGTTTGAAAGTAAGATACTATTGCATATAGAGGGTATATCTATTTAGTATGAGTACTCCGATCTAATATCTAAATTGCTATATTTAAATTTTGAGGCTAATTGTAAATTCAAATTCAATGGTATATATGATGAATTTTCAGATAAGAAAATTCAATGCATTTAATATGTTTTAGTGTCTGGAAGGATATTATTCAATCCAAATATCGCGTCATAAAAGTATGACGCGGATTAAGGTAATTTCTATTTTAAATTGAATTTTGAAACAAACCAAATTTATGGCTTGAGATAATATTATAATATTAGAGTGGCTGATATTATTATTGTAACACTGAATATTGATACATCTGAATTGAGAATTCTCAAACATATAAACAACTTTTTATTTATTATATCTAAATATTCTTCACAAGCAAGATCTCCGATTGGTACCTTATGATTAGATATGACTTGGAAATGTATCATAGTTTTGAAATTTTGAATGAAACTCAAAATTCAGAATATCCCAAATGATCTTATTGCTTTCTGCTATTGCTTACTGTGAAACAATAACAGGTTCACAGACAACACAGTTAACACGTAAAGTGAATGAGTCAATAATAATTAAGGACGCAATATTCAATGAAATTGGAAATTGGGCAACATTCACTTCGGCAATTTCGTTTTCTCAAGGGTCCACATCTACTTCAGTTGAATTAACACATACAATGTTCATCAAATGTGCCGCTAGTAATGGTGGCTCATTCACATTTGATGGCAGTTACCCACTTAAAATTGAAAAGATAGGTGTCGAAAGCGGATATAAAGGATCTGGACAAAATGCTGTAATTGGTAGAATTCTTACAAGTGGAGGCTACAACATTAATATGTCTTCATTTGTCAAAAACACAGGTGGCTCGAGGAACCTCCAACTTTGCTCCACCCCAGAAACATTGACAGCTCTAAATGTATCCGGCAACTCCGCTGACCTTGGCTTAGCAACATACGCTTATGGCAATATGATCATTGATCAAGCTTCAACTACCACTCGGCTGACTTATTCAAACTTCGAGGCTGATGAATCATCATGCGGTGTTCTTTATTATTACTCTGCGTCTGGCTCAAATACTGTACAGCATTGCAATTTTGTCAGGAATGTCGTTACAAACTATGGCCTCATCATTCCTGAAAAGTCATCAACCCTTTCATTAAATGACTGCATATTTTTCGGAAATGAATATAATTCAAAGCCGATAATTAATGCTTATTCAGCTGTAAGTATTAACAACTGCTACGTTGATAATACATTTATTTCCAGGGAAGCAAGCGTTGTAAAGTGGGCAGTAACTTCAAAATCTCCATACACTTTAACATTATACAGTACAGGAAACATTAAAGCTTTAGTTTCAGAGTCATCATCAAGCTCAGGATCTAACTTTGGCAGTGGCTCTGGATCCGGTTCAGGATCAGGCGCAACAACGGGTACAGATTCAACAGGTTCTACCACAAACCCGAATGAAACAAATACAAACAACTCAATGAGTGTCGCTGGAGATAACAACCAGACAAGTACAAGCTTTTTCATGAAGAAAGTAGGATCAATTCCAATGTGGATGCTCCTTGCTATAGTTGCTGCGGCCGTTATTATAGTTATAATATGCTTTGCTGTTTATAGACAACATAAGAAGAAGCAGCATAGACATCACCATCACCATAATGATGAAGATGATGAAGACAATGATGATGATAGCGAAGAAGACGACGAAGAGTCAAACAACGAAGATGATGCTCATAATAATGATCAACAAGAAAATCACGATGAGCCAGAAAATGATCAACAAAGTATCGCTGTTTAAAAATAAAATTTGCTCTTCTACACTTTTTTAAAATGTCTTTGTTCGAAATAAACTACAAAAATTTAATTTTCATATGAAATCTTTGTTCGATATATTTTTGTAAACTACTATAGTGAATTGATTGAAAGACTATTCACAAAAATATTTAAATCAAAAATGCTGCATTGTGTGAATAGTTGTTAGTTAAATTATATAAATTCATATTTCTGACAAATAAAATTTGTGTTAAAATTTTATATTAATTAAAATACTGAAATGATATAAAGAATTGATTAAAAAGTTTATTAATTTGAGAGGTTGCAAAAGGTTAATTCAAAATTTAATTTCAATTCAATATATCCTATATTAATTTATAAAGTTCTAATAGATTTTTTTTAAAAAAATTATTTTTATCTAATGAAAAATATTGGAATGGTATTTCAACTCCCTAAGTATTGGCAAATACTTAGCGATTTCGATAAGTATCAATACAACTGCTTACGTGCAAATTTGAGCGCTAATTATTCAAAGAATCAGCGTAACAAAAGAATCGAAAACTTCACAGAGATTCTGGAGATCATTAGGAGATTTTGCGTACGTGGTGATGGTGATGATTGGAGAAGATTCCTGGTATGCGGATATTGCTGCTTTCCAGATGGGATTGCAATTAATACGAGGCAATTAAAGTTATTGATCTTCAAATGCAAGTCTTCTATCAATGGATCACTTCATAAAATGGGATTATCTTCAAATATTGCTAAAAACGAAGCTACAAATAGTCTCATTATGGCAATTCCGATCCTCAGAGACAATATAAATGAGATGCGTCAATGGACAGTTAGAAAGTTCATTAAGATATCTGATATTAATAATGAGGATATTTTGGCAGAACCTCAAAATGATTATTCGGAAAGTGGTGAATCTCAAAAATCCGAAGGAGAAGAAGATCATTCTCAAAGCAGTAATGTTAACAACGCAATACCATCTATTCAAAATTCTGATTCTTCATCAATTGAAGAATATTCAGCAGGTAGTCCAACTATTTTTGATTTTTATCAACAAGAAATCTTTTCTGAGCTTGATTTTACTTAAGTTCAGGCTTATGATATGTATATTTTACGTGATTTTTATAAATTTCATGATATCGGTAATAGTTAGTTCATTTTTTTTCTTTTTGCTAAGGATGCCAGGCTTTTTTTCTGAGCAGAAAACGTTAATATGATATAAAGAAAATAATGTAATAATATTGAAAAATAAAAGGAAATTGAATGTATAAAATTTTAAATGTCAAAATTTTTTTAAACTCATAAAAGTGCAGAACAAAAAACAATAAATGTCGATAAAACAATTATGAATGACAAAATTGACAACTATTTAAATAGAAAAAATCATTCACAAAAATAATTGATTTTATCGGTAAATCATTGAAATCAAATAAACAAAAGGTTAAAAAATCTGCTCATTCTCTCAACATATTAATAACATAAAGATAGTATCGAATATAATTCATTATCAAAATTAAATACCATACGTTATTTCTTAATTTGAGAATATTCAAATTAAAACCGTTTCATCAAATTTGATTAACAATACAAATAGATTGGCAAATTTAATAAATTTAATAGCTCGGCAAAAATGAAATTATAAATACAAAAAACAATAACATATTCACATTTTAGTTAATATTTGAGATATTATAACAATACTGACAAAATTTAGTAATTAAATTAGCCGTGAAAAATTATGAAAAACTTAACAGATATTCATTTTTTTCAATGAAGATCAATATAAAAGTATAAATGTTATATTGATGACAATATAAAACTATTGATCAATTTTTGAAATAATTTGGAAGACAAAAAAGTTATCGATTTATAATTAAAAGATCAATTAAGTACATTTTTTGTTTCTATTTTGGTTCAAACATTTTTTGTTCTGAAATAAAACTTTGAATAAATTTACGTTTCAATTAAATGAAATATTGTTTTCAACTTTAAATTGATTTCGATTCTAGCATAATAGAACGATTTAATTAAGAACGAAGAAAAATATTTGGAATATGTTTACTTAGAGTAAAAATGCGCAAATATTGTATTAAATTTATAAATGCATTGTACCAATAAGCTTTTGACTTGTATTTTTCTATTTATCTAATCAATAAAATATTTTGAAAAATTCAAGTTTGGGATTTAAAAATTATATATTCATTACTTTAAAAAGGTAGAGTCGTCACTTAATTTGTTCCTTTTATTCGATGAATTTTGAATTTTTGAAATTTTAATTGTTAATTCAGCCTAATAAGGTGGCAAGATAATTCCAATTAAGTTGTTTCTCAATTGCAACTTTTGTTATCTCTTGTTATAGCTTCTTAAAACAAAATTTTATATAGAATTTCTTTGATTTCAATTATTGTATTGAAAAAAGTGGGTTGTATTCAATCAGCGAATATTTAGCCATATCTCTCTTAAAAATTTAACCGCACTAGTTTCAAATATTAGTACTCCTTATGTAAAATTAGCATTATTTTAAAATGTGGATAAATATTTTCCAATCAAATTCATTTCAATAAAAATAACATATTGAATTTTTTATTAAATAAACGACAAATAAATATATTATATTTATTGAGATCAAAAATATTATCGACTTTTGCTAAAAAAAAAACATCTAAAATTGTCCAACATATTTACGATGTCTATAATAACTATTATAATAACATTTATGGTAGAATAATTTTTTATAAAGATAAAATTCTAAAATAAAATGTCGCTTTATCTCATTTTTTTTTCTGAAAAAAAACTGGGATTGTTTAACTATTATGATACTTTGATCAGATCTTGAAAAGTTTCAGATATTAATATAGCTTTTTACTTTGTTAATTCATTGATTTTATTACGAATTCCAACTACATCACATCCATTAATTGTTCCAAGATCATTAATACTTTCATTTTGGTATCTAAGGAATTTAACATGTGGAACAGACTGAACGCCGAAACGGGTGGCCAGTTCTTTGTTTTGATCTATATCTACTTTTAAGAAAACGACGTTTGGGTATTGCTTTGCAATCTGAGGCATATTTTCACCGAGAGCTTTGCAAGGGCCGCACCATGTAGCAAAGAAGTCAACAACTAATAGACGATTTACCTTTTTTGCTATTGCAGTAAGTGTATCATAATCGCCGAGGAAGTTTAATAAATTAGACATTAGAATAAATCGAGAATAAAAGTGACATTAAATTTGGCCGAGTATTTATATGGGGAGTAAGAGAAAATGTTAAGCAATCATGTTCAATGCACATAATGTCAGTATATATATATATATATTCTGGTACAATTATAAGGACGATTAAGGCTTGAATAAATAGCAAAAAAAAATTGAAAAAAAGGCGAATAATTGATGAAATTAACAAACAGTTATTAGTAGTATAGGAAAATAGAATTTCATTATAAATTTTAGATGAGGTGTCAAAAAGTAAATCGAAATGAATTATTTGAATTAATTGATGTAAATTGTAAAATCATTGATCGTAAAAATCGATCTCACATTATTGTTATGCACAACTTGATTTCGATAGTTGAATCCAAAATGATGAAAAGGTTAGAATTGAAATCAAACAATCACAAATTTTGAAAAGGATATAAATTGAGAACATGACACAATCGAAAATGAATATTTTCAGAATTAATTATTAATAAATTTGACTTAATTATGGAAATAGAATAAGTTCATGTCATCAAGATTTTGAAAAATGATATTCAAATTTTCAATTTATCTACCGCAAGTGATTTAAACAAGGAAATATTAACAATTATTCAATAAAATAAGGGTTTCGTTTTGCGAAAAAAACGTACAATACGCAATTTCGCTAAAAAAACATTTAGCTAGCAATTTCGACCTTTGACTCCACTCAAGACGTCACTTTTTTAATTTTGCGGTATCATATTTTTGGAAAATCTTTATGAATATTATATAAAAAGTCTCTTTAATATCTATATTTCATATTTTTATCGATTTTTAAAGTTTTTGCGAAAAGTATTCAATTATTTTTGCTATTTGGTCGGGTAAATGTCAGATTTGCGACATTTTCTGATATGATATTCAGATTCTACGTTGATAATAATGCTTATAGAACCCTCTTGCTATTGTGTCAAAATTGCAAACCGATAGCAAAAATATCTCGCAATATCAAAATTGAGATATTGAGTGAATTATGCATTATAGAGATTAAAAATCTGATTTGTGAAAACATCTCATCAGTTTCTAGCTAATTCAAAAATCTTTACTATCTTATTCGATTAAAATGAAAAGGGAATAGTTTCATTATGCTTTAAATGACAGCCTTATAATATAATCATAGTTTTCGCTCAATATGCAGCATTTTTTTTTCGAAATCTATGGTCAATATCCTAAATACTGATTGTTTGCATTCATATCTCTTACATTTTCTATACCCACATCACTATTCATTGCTATTCCTATCTTTTTCATTTTTGTTTGTTTCTCATAATTTCTCAAAAAACATGATAACTTGATATTTGTAAATATCATACTTTATAACGTAAATAAGAACTTGACCTATTAAGAAAAGCAGTAATGAAAAGAAAATCTGAAATTCATAAAAATTACAAGTTTCTGATGACAATTAGCTTAATTAAACCAGGTACAAGATTATATAATTGTATTTTCTATCCAATTATCCATATAATATCTTATCCAGAAAAAATAACTTGATCAATACCAAATGATTTTTTAACTAGTAAATAAAGTATTTTCTTTACACACACATTGTATATCATAGTTTTTTTTTGGTTTCGCAAAATATCCAAAAACAAATATGCTATAAAAGTGACAGTTTTCGCAAAACGAAACCCTTAAATAAAAACAATGGGGACATTTCATTATTTTATTATGGCAGTTTTCCGAGATAGTAGAAAATTATTGGACATTTATTCAAATCCAACATATTATCTGTTCAAGATTTTTTTGAAATAAAATTATATTGCATTCAATGACTGACCACTTATTTGAATTTCTATTTCATAAAAAGCTTCTATAAGTGATTATAATGCGAATTAATCTTTCCCTAATTCATCTTTTTTCAATATTTTTCAATTATTTCAGAGAGTTTGTGAACCATCGTTTTCTCAATTCAAAATTTTGAAAAGCAGAGCAGTTGTCGATTTCTCCACAGGGTTCAGATAAGAAGAAGTTCCGCAAGGCCAAATTTTCAAAAGCAGAAGATATGTTATTAAAAGAATTAGTCATGGCTAATGGAACAAACAAATGGTCTTTTATTGCTTCTAGGTTTACTAATAGAAATGTTAGGCAAGTCAAGGAGCGATGGGAGTACTACCTTAGCCCAAGTGTTAATAATGGACCGTGGACAGCTCAGGAAGATAAACTACTATTAGAGAAATACCATGAACTTGGATCTAAATGGACAGCTATTTCTCATTTCTTCGTCGGAAGAACTAACACATGCTGCAAAAATCGATTTCTTGCGATGAAGCGCGCAACAGAAAAAGAACAAACTAGCTCATCCTGCGTATCATCCCCATGCGCAGAACCACTTCCTACTTCTGAGGAGGAAGTTTATCACCAGGTTGATAGTTCATTCGTTGATGCTTTTAATGATGATATTTCTAGTGATTTATTATCTTTCGAATCAGCATTTTCTAATGCTGATTTTTGTCTTTGGTAAGTACTAAAGACTCTTTTGTTGTAAACAGAAATTCATCAAAAGTGACACCTCAGAAAAGCTAAAATATTGAATTTTTGGAACTTTTGATAGAGCACGTTTTTAAATATTAATTAAAGTAAATGTATATTTTGTAAAGATTCTTGTTAATAAAAAAATAAAATTTTGAAGAAGAACACAAAATCTTCTGAAAAATAATATCACATAAACTCATATTATTTTCTAATATATAACTATTTTATATAAAAATCAAATTCAATGATCTTAAAAGCGAAGGATAAACCTCAAAATTTACGAATATAATGAGTGGGAATATAATGCTTATCTATCATAAAACCATATGAAATATCAATTTTTGCTTTACGCCTAATTTTTGACGACAATTAGCAAAAAATGTTAAATGTTAACACTCAGTCCATTTGAATATGAAAAATAAAATTGACTTTGATTAAATGTTTTTATTTATCATGCAATTCTTCTTGCGACCAAAGATTTGAAATAAAAGTTCAAAAAATAAGATAGCTTAAAAAATAATATACGGTAGTGTTTACTAATAGATGAATAGTATATAAATTCTATTAAAATGGATTTGATCCAAAAAAATATAAAACCAAAAATAATTGTTATAATTGAAATGAAGAAGTAATTTAAAACGATTTTATTTATGATCAAATTTTATATATTTTTTTGGATCAAATCCATTTTAATAGAATTTATATACTATTCATCTATTAGTAAACACTACGTATATTATTTTTTAAGCTATCTTATTTTTTGAACTTTTATTCAAATCTTTGTCGCAAGAAGAATTGCATGATAAATAAAAACATTTAATCAAAGTCAATTTTTATTTTTCATATTCAAATGGACTGAGTGTTAACATTTAACATTTTTTGCTAATTGTCGTCAAAAATTAGGCGTAAAGCAAAAATTGATATTTCATATGGTTTTATGATAGATAAGCATTATATTCCCACTCATTATATTCGTAAATTTTGAGGTTTATCCTTCGCTTTTAAGATCATTGAATTTGATTTTTATATAAAATAGTTATATATTAGAAAATAATATGAGTTTATGTGATATTATTTTTCAGAAGATTTCATTCTATATGCCTATGAAAAGTACTCTCAAAACTAACTTTTTCCAAATTATAATTAAATCTAGAATATTTTATTATGCTTAGTATTATTTCATTTTTCTCATTCAATTTAGAATTTACAAATGTCAAAAAATTGAGAGCTGTCAGTTTTGATGAATTTCTGTTTATTACACTATCAAATTTTTACAGTTTAGAAATGAAATTTTTCCTGACCAATTTAGATTATTATATCCACCATATTGATATTAGATCAAATTAGCCAAAACTTTTGAACAATCAAATTTTTGTATGTGCTACGATTATTTTGTTTTTTCAGAAATAAAAATGGATCCAAAAGAACAACAATTTCTTGATGACAATGGTTTAGTTTTTATTAAAATCATTGCCAAAGGCACATTTGGTGTTATCTATCAAGTTTATTCGGAGCAATTTCGATCGAATTTTGCTTTAAAGAGAATTCCCGAAAAATTGTTCAGTGATCAAGAAGTTCAATGCTTGATTGCTATTGATGATCCTAAAATTGTCAGTCTATACAAGTATTACAAATTTAATGGCAACATTTATCTTTTGATGGAATTTTGCATGACAGATTTACAACGAATTTTAATACAGAATCCAAAAATACAAACAGAGCAACTTAGAAAATACATAACTGACATGGTTAAATGCGTCAAAGCCTGTCATGACAAAAACATTGCACATTGTGATATTAAACCCGCTAACTTCATGATAGATGCATATGGCAGACTCAAGATCGGAGATTTTGGATTATCCGCAATCTATAAAGACAAACCAAAGTCACTTGACTTCAAAGGCTCTGGATTTTACATGTCCCCAGAAATTTTCTGTCGTAGGATCTACAATCCTATAATTTCCGACATGTGGGCATTAGGAGTATCCATCTACTTCATCACCACCAAGAGATTCCCATTCGAAGCCAACACAGAGCGAGAATTTTACGCAAAGCTCCAGAGCGGCAAATACAACACAAGCCTGATCCAGGACCCTCTACTCGCAGAGGTAATTGCAGGATGCTTGGAATTGGAGCCACGCAAAAGGCTCACAGTTGATCAGCTGCTGGAACTGCCTTATTTCACAGAAACATCTAAAAAGACTGAAGCAAAGATAAGCTTGAACAGAACAATGCCACTTTTGAGAAACCAGGACATAATTTTGAAGCCAAAAGTGGAAAATAAGAATAAGCTGATTACGTTTCAGTCTTCTACACATAATTTATTCAGAAACTCGAGCTTTATGAGATTACAGCTCATCGATGTTTCTAAATCAAGTGATACGTTCAATATTTAACAAAAATTATTATGACAGTCGTATTCACTATTTATCCATGAGCTTCAATGCGATTAATAGATTATACTTACAAAGCGGCCAAATGTTCTTTTGATTTTAGCTATCAAAAGAGTTTTTTACCCTGATTCATTCAGCATTTTCGATTTTTTATTACAGTTAACAGATAATAACTTGCTTAATGAATTTACCAACTTTTTTGTTGTATATATTTATAAACTGTTAATTACTTCTCGTTTTTTTTTCAATCAAATTGATCTTTTGCAATTTCCATCCTTTTACTGCTTTAGATTCATTTGCAATTTAAATGTGATAGATAGTTTTAGATAGCAGATTATTTAAAAAAGTGATTTCGAAATAAAATTTAATAAAATAACGAGTAACAGCAATTCTAATACATGAAATGCATTATCTATGATGTATACTTTTACAATCCTCAAACTGTGATCACTAACTGCCTCATAATTTTTTTTGAAATAACTTATATTAAATTTTTACTTTCATATTATGAACAAATATACAAAACTATATTTCAAACGAGCTCTCTGCCTAGTTTGACTCATCATTTACGAAGAATTCTGCTGGAGTTGCACCTTCCTGTGCGTTATCTCCGTTCACGTAGTCCTGATCGTGCAACACCTCGTATGGCCAGTGGAAATATGCCATGAGGAGGACAAAAACGTTCTGGATTGAGTAAACTCCAACAAAACGCAATGCAGAGTCCTTAAACTTTGGCAGGAAGCTGAATATTACTCCGTAAAGGAATATCAGTGCAATTGACACCGATCCAGAGACAAGATAAATAATATATTTGTATCTTTCAGTGATATCTACCTGAATTGATGCGACAATGATGCAGAATATGCACCACACAATGTATCCGCAGAAGAGAACGATGTTGAAATAGGCCATAAATATGATTTTCTTATCAAAAACAGTAAATCCGATTTCTGAAACGACATCTGCGAGATAAATGATGGAGCAGAGGATAATCTTTGGGACAAAGAAGCACTTGTCTGTTTTCCTGTTCTTGTAGCGGAGAGAATCGAACAAAACCAAAATGAAAAACTTCAAATAAGCGGAGAAGAGACTGTTAACAAGTATCTCCAGCAAGACAACGGAGTTTGACTTGTGCTTGACAAAGAAAAATTCGAAAATGTTGTTATACAAAAACGAAAGAAGTAATAAAGGACATGTGAGCTTCTGTTCGAGGTGCCAGTACTTGAACTGGGCTGTTGAGAGACGGAGAACAAAGAGAACAAGGAAAATAAGCTCAATTAAGGCAAAAATGAGTTTGAAATAAATCTGAAAAATCGTGTATTGCGTGAAACCATGAACAAAGCGAAGTGTAAGAGATGTATACATTGGTGGAACATCAATTGTGCACTCAAAGTGAATGGAATCAAAATTCAATAGTTTTTGAGTGTAAAGTATGATCGGATAAGTCTCTTCGTTACCTGCAAATGCAATTAAATGAGTGTTATCGTCATAATTCACGACTGTTTTAACGATTTCATTGTTCTTCTTCATGACCACTTTATAGTTGTATGCAATCTGTTCGTTGACAACTCCCGCTGTATTCTCACGGTTGAAGATGAGTTGGAATGAAACAAATTTGAAATATGGTGTGATTTCTTTAATTGTCATTGAAAAATCTTGTGCTTTTGTGCCAATAAGACCTTTTTCGTTGCTAGAGCGAAGATAAATGGTCTTTTCATTTACATCAAATGGTTTTGGACCGAAAAACCCGGTGAGAGTAGAGATTATCAAAATAACAACAAAACCACCAATAGAATAGATTTCATCTCTGAAATTTGCACTATCAATGGCCATTAGAGTTTCTCTACCTAATGATTCTTCAATTTGAATATCAATCATTTCACCAGAAGAGGAATGCATATTATCAATCATTTTTTTTACAGATGTCACATTTTATTCATTTCTCTTCTCTTCTTTTATTTAATTTGCTTTGGTTGACTATATTTTTGCCTCGTTGAAAATGTTTAACGATTAATACTCGCCATTGCAAAGAATTCATGATGGAGAAGTGTTACAATTAACACATCTGGAGAAATGAAACCCATTGCCAAATATAGTTCATAACATATTTAAGATGTGAATACTTGTAGCCAGATTAGTAAGCTTTCCTTTAAGAAATATTCAATTAATTAAGGTAATGAATGAAAAATAAGATAAAATTCTAATTGGCAATCTAATCACATTATCCTGATTCCGAATAATTAGGATTGAAAAGGAGTTTGATCAAAACAATGAAAAATTCACCATAAAGATAGATGATTTCTCATAAGGATATATTCGTATTAAATTGAGAATATATGTTTGAACCAATTAATTAAGAAAATAGAAAAAAGATTATCCGAAAAAAAAAATGAAAAAAAAATTGGGGTGAAAGTGTAATAAACAGAAATTCATCAAAAGTGACAGCTCTCAATTTTTTGACATTTGTAAATTCTAAATTGAATGAGAAAAATGAAATAATACTAAGCATAATACAATATTCTAGATTTAATTATAATTAGGAAAAAGTTAGTTTTGAGAGTACTTTTCATAGGCATATAGAATGAAATCTTCTGAAAAATAATATCACATAAACTCATATTATTTTCTAATATATAACTATTTTATATAAAAATCAAATTCAATGATCTTAAAAGCGAAGGATAAACCTCAAAATTTACGAATATAATGAGTGGGAATATAATGCTTATCTATCATAAAACCATATGAAATATCAATTTTTGCTTTACGCCTAATTTTTGACGACAATTAGCAAAAAAATGTTAAATGTTAACACTCAGTCCATTTGAATATGAAAAATAAAATTGACTTTGATTAAATGTTTTTATTTATCATGCAATTCTTCTTGCGACCAAAGATTTGAATAAAAGTTCAAAAAATAAGATAGCTTAAAAAATAATATACGGTAGTGTTTACTAATAGATGAATAGTATATAAATTCTATTAAAATGGATTTGATCCAAAAAAATATAAAACCAAAAATAATTGTTATAATTTAAATGAAGAAGTAATTTAAAACGATTTTATTTATGATCAAATTTTATATATTTTTTTGGATCAAATCCATTTTAATAGAATTTATATACTATTCATCTATTAGTAACACTACCGTATATTATTTTTTTAAGCTATCTTATTTTTTGAACTTTTATTCAAATCTTTGGTCGCAAGAAGAATTGCATGATAAATAAAAACATTTAATCAAAGTCAATTTTATTTTTCATATTCAAATGGACTGAGTGTGTTAACATTTAACATTTTTTGCTAATTGTCGTCAAAAATTAGGCGTAAAGCAAAAATTGATATTTCATATGGTTATTATGATATAAGCATTATATTCCCACTCATTATATTCGTAAATTTTGAGGTTTATCCTTCGCTTTTAAGATCATTGAATTTGATTTTTATATAAAATAGTTATATATTAGAAAATAATATGAGTTTATGTGATATTATTTTTCAGAAGATTTTGTGTTCTTCTTCAAAATTTTATTTTTTTATTAACAAGAATCTTTACAAAATATACATTTACTTTAATTAATATTTAAAAACGTGCTCTATCAAAAGTTCCAAAAATTCAATATTTTAGCTTTTCTGAGGTGTCACTTTTGATGAATTTCTGTTTACAACAATAGGATGAGAAAATGATGAAGTGTATATCATCAAAGGCAAAAAAATTTGATCGGAAACGAAGAATAATTTCAATAAATTGAATTTATCAATTTCAAAAATATTATATTCTGATTGTTATATAGAATTATTAGATAAATGATAAATAATTAATTCAAATAAAAAAAATTCAAGGTCTCAATTCTTTTGAATTGAATTGAAAAGTAAAATTGAGAGGATATTAAAAATAAGGAACCGTTTGAAAATTATACATATAACAAAAAAATAGAATAACGTGCTTGCTCAATCATCAAAAAATTAGATATTATGAATTGGATTTAAATTATTAATTTCGAGTTCAAATTTCAATCAAATTCTGCAGGAAATTGAGCTTTATCCGATTTTTAACATTAGCATTTCTATGTGATTGCAAGAAATCCCTTCTCCTAATGGAAAAATTGAGTATTTACCTTAGTATTGAATATGATTCTTTCACAGGGAATGAGATACGAACGAATTTAAAAACCATTATCGTGTTGACAAAAATATCATGAATATTCTTAAACAGGAGGTTTAAATTAATGAATTGTTGTATTTTTAATGATTGAGCACAAATCCACTTCATTAATTTCCTCTCAATCAATCTCTTGAATAGGTGGTTTCTATTCAGCATCAAATTCAACCAAAACAAGGCAATTCAAAATCTAAAAAATTAACATCTGCTATCAATAAATTAATGATGATATCATTTCGATATGGCCATTTTGTCAAATTATGTGCTTAGTTTGATGCGCCAATGCCAATATCAAAAAATATCAGATATTTGGGAAAGTATAGTCTTACGAATTCTTCTTTTGAATGTATAATATTCATTTGGAAACTTTCAAAAGTGTATTCTTTATCTTCTCCAAAAATATTTCTCCAAAAAAAAGCTTTATATTCATTATTGTTTTGCTATATTTTCCATTTGTTTGATTGATATTTTGAGTTTTCTCAATTTTGTGATCCGATCACTTTATCAACTTCACAATTATTTCAAAAGATTTTTGATGTTCCATCATTTATCTCGATGGATATCATTTTATGGTATTTTTCTTGTACTATTCGGCTATTGTTTAAAGATATATTACACATTTCCAGTTTATCATATTCCAAAGGTATCAATTAAAAACTTTTCTCGGAAATTTGATCAAAGGATAAAACCAATTATAACAGGTCATATCTCTGACTCGCATATATCTACAAATCATCCAAAAACAATTATAAGATTAAACAAAAGCTTAAATTTATTCGAAAGAATTATAAAACCTTTAATTGTAATACTTAGTGGTGACTTAGCAGATAACTATTCACACGGTAAGCCACCATGTTACTCATTTCCACATGAAAAATATTGGAAATTATACAATGAGACTGTTCATCATTCAAAAATCAATCCGAATAGATTATTTGAGATATACGGGAACCATGATCTGTTTGGCATAGTTAATTGGGATATTGAGAAAGTATATGCATCACTATACACAAGAACTAACAATTCAAATTTTCATGCTTTTACAATTACAAAGGACAATGTACGAATAATAGGATTTATGCCAGTAGACTTTCCATCTGGGCATGGTCCACAGCAATTTATTGCATCAATGAAAAAAGAATATTTAGATGATCTTGAAAATAAGCTCAAAAAACCTACAAATGCCACTTACACTATTGTAGTTACTCATTATACTCATGAATTGATCTATCCAATCAGTGCAAAATCTTCATCTGGTTTAGATTTCGAAAATTTACTCAGTAAATACAATATATTTTGTTTAATGAATGGACATACGCATCCACAAAACATAGAAGCAGTGCATTATGGTAATTTCATGGAGCTTACAGCCATGAGTTTGAAAAGAAATGATACATTCGCACTTTTGTCGATTGATAATGATAGGCTTAACTATGAAAGCTTCAATTTGAACGCAGACATTTCGGATGATTTCGAGAACTACTCCATAATCACTTCTCCCACACCTCAAGAATTGAATGCCTATAATTTCAACGATATGCAATTTCCGATAAGGATTGTTTCTTTCAGCTCTGACAAGAACAAGAATTTCACTGTAAAAGGAGATTTTAGCAGCCGTCTGATGTTCCAAGAATATTTAGAAGAGAATGTAAGTCTTTATTCATTGATGGCAACATTTGAACCAGGAATAAGAAAAATAGAAATTGTTGGGGATTTGAATAAATCTATGACATTTGCTGTTAATTGCAATTCAGGACCATTTGTTGAGAAGCACACATATCTTTTCAATCCTAAGTTAGGACCTATCAGCTACCAAATTTTCACGGTTTTCTTTTTGATTGTTGTCCTTTCAATGAAATTCTTGAAATCAAGGAAAATAGAAAAAATATCTATGTTTATATTTGATTTCAACACTAAAATGGAAAATCTCGATTTCATCACACTATTTATGGCAGGTCCACTTATATTCGGAAAATGTCTGAGCTATCTCAGTTGCAAAATCAAACTCTTTCTTTTCATTATCACAGTATGGCCACTCTTTTTGCCATTGATGTTTTATGAAACAGATGGAAAGTTTTATGCACTGTGGACATTTGGCTACACAGTAGGATTTTCCTTTGTATTTGATACTTTCTCTATTTTATGCAGCGCAATGTATGTAATCTTCTATTTGAGTTCGATTTTCTTTTCAATATTTGTACTTTTATCAATGAAAAAGAATGGATTTTCCATTTTCTATCTTGTTGATATGATGTTAATTTCAATTTTAATGAAAATCGGATCGAATTTTGTATTTAAATATATTGCGGAAATAGGTTGGAAATACTTTTGGTATTTCTCTTTCCCATATTTTATCTTTCCAATATTTGAGATCATTCTGCTACTCTCTACTTTGAGAGAAAAAGTAAAATCTGAGTAAACTTTTCTCTTATTAAATAACTAGTAATTAAAAAAAACAATAATAATAATTAGCCTATCTCACAAATAACTAATCATTGATGCTCAACCTTTTGCATTATTTCATTTTGTCTCTTCTTTGTGTTGATGTGAAATACAACGAATGCTATCAAAAGAGCAACAAATTTCGCTATATTCCATCTTGATATTTCAAAATTAGAAACTGTTTCGTATTTAAAAATCCTGCGAATAATTAGCATTTTAGATGTCCACTATACTAAATTTCAGGTGAACATTGAATTTGTCTGAATTCAGATAAACAAGTAATTACATTGATGCAATAAATTGCTAGGGACTGTGTCCGTAAATAGCAATTAATGCCGCAGAATACTCTATATCAGATAAATTGCAAAAAAAGGTTTGTTATATTGAATTCCATCTCTTCGGATGATGAGAATAATATTTGCTTCTTGTAGATAGAGAGTCCTGAGGAGTTTTTCGGTAATCCGAGTGAGCTCTTTCGTTTTTTGATGTAGAAAGTAGACAGATTTGGGTTGTTGAACGTGAGAGAAAATATGCAATTGTCGAATATGAAATTTGTTTGCGGTAATATGTTAATGCACGATGATGGATGTTTTGAAAACTCAAATAGTACATTTCAACAGGAGCATGTGAAAGATATGTTAAAAAACTCGGTTGGATAGTATGTTCTTTCAAAAATTTTATAGAAAATGATTCATTACATAAAAATCGTAGAATTTACTAGCTCTAGTTATATTAATTTCCGAAATATGATGACAATATTTGAATTTGAGGATAGGATCCTGATATTGTTCTTCAATATGTGTAAAAGTATCATAAAGAGATTTGAAGTTATATGCATTAGAAATTGTATTACTTTGTATCAAAGAATTTGTGAAAAAGCAATCTACCAATAAATTTTTATAAAATTCATGCTAGGTTTTGTTGCAAGTAATATAGGATGGAGAATATTCACCTGAATCAACATTGAGGAGCACTGGGTCTGTTACTGATGTTTGAGAATCAGAATTTGATATGATTTACGTCTTTATCACGAATTAAGAAAAAAAGCGCATTACTCGATATGTATTTCCAAATGCGTATCTAATATATAAGGCAGTGGTTCAGCAGAATATGAGCCAAAGTTTTTTTTTTCAAATGAGCAGATTGATCGATGTTCATAAAACTGTTCATTTGACACTCAATATTTGAGAAGAATTGATTCAATGATCATATTTTCTGAAAAAGGAAAAAGCGAATTATCATAATCATAGAATTTTTTTTTAAAAAAATGATTCCAATAAAGACAGTTCTTGCAGGTCCTAGTGGAGTTGGAAAGACGTCGCTTTCTATTCGAATGCAAAGTGGAAGCATTCATCCTAATATTACGACAACGCTTGGCGCACAGTATTTAACGATTAAAACTAAATTTCAAGGCAAAGACTTCCAAATATGTCTCTGGGATACTGCAGGTCAAGAAAAATATCACAGTATTGTTGGAAACTATTTTCGTGATGCTCAAGTTATCTTGTTAACATTTGATATCTCTGATAAAGATACGTTTTCAGCATTAACTGAATGGATGAAGCTTATAGAGCGCAATACTCCCAAAGAAATACCAGTTATACTATGCTGTAATAAAAGTGATTTAGACTCAGAAATAGACGACCAGGACATCGAAAAGTTTTGTACAGATTACAATATAAATCTATATTTATATACATCAGCTCTTGAAGGTCAAAATATTGACGAACTTATTCAGTCCATAGCTGCTTCTTATTCGGAAGACTCTACTCAAGTATCAGATTCTTCTGTTAAGGTCAATAATAATGATAAGAAATCCAATTGTTCTTGTTGAAAACCAAATTATATTTTCTGACACTTCTTAAGTATACTAATTTTTATCCCATTGATATTATACTATATGTGTATATTGTTTTTTATGTTTAAAATATCTTTTAAAAAAAAATGAAAGAAAAAAAAACCTTTATTCTATAAAAACAATATGAAGTCAAAAAAATTAAACTTCCGTATAAGTTACTCCTTGGCCTGTTCCTGTCATTGGCTTGTCATCCAGCTTTGATACAGCCTTTGCCTCTCTAATCTTCTGAACAATAAGAGGTACTGCAATTGCTCCACCGAAGAAAAGGCCAAATACATCAGCCGCCGGGTAGCAGAGCTGTAGCTTGATTCCGTCGTGGAACAGTGCGTAGAACATGTAAGAGAATCCCAATATCGAAACGAACTGGCAGAAGAAGCTGATGATTATTGCCCTTCCGCCGCATTGTAGACTCTGCATGATAGACTGCGCGTTGAACCTTGAGAAAGAGAAGAAGGCGACAGAGTTTCTTGCTCTCATCATTGGTTCGGCCCACTTTAGATACTCCTCGCCTGTGGAAAAGATCATTGAGAGGTATCTTGGGAAGATCCACGTGAGGAGAGATGTAAGGCCACCCCACAAGAAGTTGATCCAGAGTGCGTGGAATGCTAATTCAAGCCACCTCTTCGGCTGGTTTGAAGCGTTCGCATAGGAAGCGGCTGGGATACTGCCTGTGTTGACGCCAATCATAAGAGATTGAGTAAGAACAATGAAACGGACTGTTGCGTTGTATCCGGATAAAGCAGCTGGAAATTCTTCACCAGTGCACAAGCCGAGGAGCTTACGGACAATGATAGCTGGGATTGTAAGTGAAAGTTTTGCAACAAGCTGCGAAACACCAACTTTAAGACATGGAATCGTGTGTGGTCCGAATTTTTTGAATAAACCATGAGGGCTGGGCTTGATGCCGAACTTTCCGCAGTAGAAGAGAATAATTAATGTGATACCTGGTATTAACTCAGCGAGAATTGTTGAGAAGGCGGCACCTCTGATTCCAATTTTGAGTCCGAACAAGAACAAAGGATCAAAAAGACCCATGTTCAGGAAGAAACAAATGATGTTGACAATACCAAACAAGTTTGTACGACCTTCTCCTTGAAGAAAGCCTCCTGCAAGGAATAAGAAGATTGATGAACAAGAACAAAGCAAAACAGGTAGAATATAGTCAAAACCAAGGTTAACGAGATCTTCATCTGCACCGTACCAGAACGCAATCGGCTTGACAATTGGTAAAAGGATTGCAGGAACTATTGCGGAAAAGATTATAGCAATTCTGATAAGATCTGAGAATAGCTGATCAATTTCACTCTCCTTTTTCATGCCGTAGAGTTGGCTTGTCTTCGTATTTGCAGCAATATTTAACCAACCACCGAAAGCACGACCGATATTATCGAAAACAGAGTACTCCGAGATAGCTGACATACCTCTGTAACCGAGGGCCAATGATACCCATATTGTATCAACGATTCCATATAAAGCACCAATTAATTCAGAAATAACAGGACCAGTTCCAAGAGCAATGATTGTTGTAAGTGGTGGACGGCCTCCGAGCTTGTAATGCTCATCTGCTGTGAACTCTTTCTTAGCAGGCATGCAAAATAAAAATTAAAAGACGATCAAAAAAACCAAAAGTGACTAAAATCTTAAATTTGACAGAATATTCGCCTCATGATAAAATTTATGAAAAAGAAACATGGCCACTAATTATATTAAGCGAGTTGGTGTTAAAAAGTGACAAATATGAAAATTTTCAATAGAATTGAGGATAACAAAAAAATTCGAGTGCATCCTAGGATATTAGTGAATTTTTTATAAAAATTTTTCAGATGAGGTTTAGAGTTGTCACCATTTTCATCCATAGAATAATTCAATGAGCTCAAACAAAATTTTATATCAAAGTTGAAATTTGGGAAATGATTCTCCATAAGATAAATGTATATAAAATTCAGGTAGACATGGAATTGAAAAAAAAAACAGTGACCTTACTAATATCATAAGTAAGATGCTTGAAAAAAATCAATTTTAATTGATAAGTTTTGACAAGTATATATGATAAATTATATTGAAATTGTTAAAAATACTTAGTATGTCCAGTATAAGTTTAATTTAAATGTTACATGATAATTCATTCTTTATTGCAGAAAAAATATACCAATTCATGTATCTTTAATACCTTCAAATCAATACAATGAAACAATTTATCTATGATGTATGAAATTTGGAAGAATAACCAATAAACTTTGAACTCTTTATGATTATCATCTTGGATCTTCATCAAGAGATAAATGGGTAATTGGCTATGTTATAAGAAATTCTTTGAAAATTGTATTTTATTACTAAAACAGCAATATAAAAGTTATTTCAGCCAGAAAAGAGATATTAAGTATGATTTTGCTGTTTGTTTGAGCAATATAAATATGACAATGATTTGTATTCGAGAGTAAGATTGAACTCAAAGGAAACTTCAAATTGAATGATTCTGATTGGAATGTTTTGTGCGTAGAAAAAAATTATTGAAATAAATTGAAAGCATTCCTATTTTTAAATTTATTATCAATTGGAAGACAATTATTACATATTAGAAAACGAATAAAAAATTCAATAGTTTTACAATTTTTGAAATCCAGAAATATTATTCTGCTACAACTGTACTTCAATAATTCTTGATAGGTGAAGTGAATATCTAACTGCAAGTCTCAAAATCAATAATCTGATACAAAAAAAATTTTTTACAATCCTGGAAAAAAATTTTTTTAGATAAATCAGATGTTTTGCTTCTTATTCTTTGCAAAATTATCTGTCCAAGAAGATGGATGTGATTTATGTCACACAGCCCTTCCACTTCTTCGCCAAGCCATCGAACAAGGCTATTCTGATGATGTTATCAAATCTGGCCTTGCTCAAGCCTGCCCAACAATGCCATCCCAATATATTCCATACTGCAATCAAGCTTTACAAAACATTGATGGAATCCTTGCTGATATCCATGCCGGCAAGGACGACGACTACGTTTGCAAGACATACGGCTTCTGCACAGCTGCTATCAAGGTCAGAAAGGCTAATGTTGACAACGGTATGATCTGTGATGTCTGTGTTTCGCTTATCAAGTACGTTGAGAAGGTCTTACTCGAAACAAAGGTTGAATCCGAAGTTATTGCTCTTTGCGATAAGTACTGCGAATCCTTACCAGCTCCATTCCCAACCCTCTGCAAGTCTATGGTTGAGAAGTACGTTCCAGTCATCATCCAGTATCTCGAACAAGGCATCGAGCACCTTGAGATCTGCAAGAAGATCGGCCTTTGCGAATCCGTCAAGGGTGCCAAGTCCCAGAATGGCCTCATCTGCGACATGTGCGTTGAACTTGTCCATTATGTTGAGGAAGTTCTTGATGACACAAAGATCGAATCCGAAGTTGCCGAACTTGCTGACAAGTTCTGCGAGAAGTTCTCAGCTCCATATTCCACCCTCTGCAAGTCCCTTGTTGACAAGTCCATTGTTGAAATCATGCACTGGCTCGAACAAGGCTTAGAGCACCTTGAAGTCTGCCAGAAGGTCCATCTCTGCTCTGTCCAGAAGTCTGTTGTCCGCACACAGAACGGCATCATCTGCGACACATGCGTTACATTAGTCAAGTACGTTGAGAAGCTTCTTGACGACCAGACAGTCAGATCCGAAATCGAGCATCTTGTTGACCAGTTCTGCGACGATCTCCCATCCCCAGTCTCTGTCTTCTGCAAGTCCATTGTTGACAAGTACATTGACGAGATCATCACATACCTTGAACAAGGATTGGAGCACCTCGAGATCTGCAAGAAGATTGGCCTCTGCGACACAAAACTCTCTGCCCGCGAAGCTAACGGCGCTGTCTGCGACATGTGCACAAAGCTTGTCCGGTACATCGAAGAGCTCATGGAGAGTGAGACAGTCGAGTCAGAGATCGCTGTACTCTGCGAGAAACTCTGCGACGAGCTCCCATCCCCAATCTCTTCACTCTGCAAGGGAATGGTCGACAAGTACGTAAAGATCATCATGCAGTGGCTCGAGCAGGGCTTAGAGCACCTCGAAGTCTGCCAGAAACTTGGTTTCTGCGATGCAAAGTCCCTCAAGCTCGCCCGCAACCCAGTTGACTTCTCAGCAACTAATGGTGTCACTTGCGATATCTGCAAGGACTTCTTCAAGTGGTCTGAGAACGAAATCGAAAAGTACACAGTCCCATACCTCTGGAAGCTCGTCCACGAGAAATGCCCGAAGATCCCTTACCTCGCTACATTCTGCAAGCTCATCAACGAACAGAACATCGAGACATTCCTCAACTTAATCATCTCTCAGCTCCCACCAGAAAAGGCTTGCCACTTCATTAAGCTTTGCTAAAAAAATTAATTAAAAGTGACAAACACACTTTATTGCGATTTTAAAAAAAATCATCAAGTTTCTTATTTTTATTTTTTAATGATTTAGATTAGTAATATATATTAATCATTGTTCAATGGCTCTAAATCACAGATAATTCCTGGTCCAACTTGGAAGAATCCATGTTTCTCGTAGAAGGCCATTCTTTCTTTGGCCTTTTCTGTCGTCATCCTTGGTGTGAGAGCTTCTAAAGCTCCATAATCATTTTCTTTTGCGTATTTCTTTAAATGTTCCATTAAAACTTTGCCAACTCCATGTCCACGATAATTTTCATCAACAATTAAGTCGGCAATATTCAATGTTTTGCAGGACATCTCGAGTGTATATAATCTATTGCACAAAGCGCAGCCTACTGGAGTTCCATTTTTCTCAGCAATAAATACTGGTGTTTCGGCTGGATTTTTAAGAACATGCTTGTAAAAAGAATCGAATTTAGAAAATTTGTATTCTTCCTTTGTTCCTAAACAGATATTTATTAGGCTCCTAAGACATTTTTTGATAAAGTCTCCATCACTAAATACAGCATCGCGAACTTTGATCGAAGAACTCATTAGATCCGATCAAAAAAATGACAATTTTATGGGTAATTTGTTAACATATTCAGGGAAAATTATTATAAAAAGAGAAATATGGTATGATTATATTGGAAATTCTTTTTCTTGAATGCTATTAATTCAATGAAAAATACATTTGAATGAAATAGCCATGATTAGTAGATCATTTAGCTTCAATCAAACAAGCACTGAGTTCTGAGAATTAGTAATATCTGTATTCAAGGATTGAAGTCGAGCAGCTGAAATCAGAGAGACTCAAAGACAATATAAAATCTTAAAACTTTGAATTTTGAAACACCCTATGATAAAGTAACATAGTGTATCACTAGTTTAATAGAATTTTTTTGGGAAATTCAAATTTGACTGAGATAATCGGCTTAACCCTTGAAATAAAATTCGTTTCATATTTGTCATTTATCAACGATTACAATATAAAAAAGAAATTTTGCAAATTACCTCAGACTTTTCAGAGGATTGAGTGGCAACTCAATCCTCTGAAATAGTCTGTGGTAATTTTTAGTCTCTACACTATTTCAATATAAGCTCCATTTTTAAACAGTTTTTAAAAATCGAGCATTGAAAAGTGTGATGAGACTTGAGATTTTTTCAATTGACAAAATTTTCTGAGTTATCAAAAAATTGATTTTCAAAAATTAAGTAAAATATTATACATCGTATTATGTATAGCAATTTTGTAAAATCGTATATTTTCAGCTCAGTCAATTATCTAATGATTCAAATATCTTCTCATCCAGGCATAGTTGTTCCTAAATTAAATAGAATAAATCTCGCCAAGAGAAAATCTGCTATAGTAAACAATCCAAAGCCGCCTATATCATCTAAAAGCTCGGTTAATCCAAGATTTCTCGGTTTAAAGCTTCATAATAATGCAAAATATCAAGCGCTGCCGAATGCCCCATTGACACCAAACACGGTTTTACGTGATTATCAGAATATGTTGACTGTGAAAGAACGTAATGAAATTTTTATTTATCAAGAGATATATTATCTTCGTAGTTATGAACGTCAACAAGATATCGAGCAAAATGACAAAATATATTTCAAATTCACAGAAAACGATCATATCAAATTCCGGTATCAGCAAATTAAGGAGTTAGGGCGTGGCGCATTTGGTGTTGTAATTCTTTGTTATGATCACAAGATTCACAGCTTAGTTGCAGTAAAACTCGTTAAAGATAGACCTTCGATGAGAAATCAAATCACAAATGAAAAGGAAGTTAATGAAGCAATTTCAAGATCATCTGAACCTGAAGCATCTAGATTTGCAAAATATTTCGATTACTTTAAATTCAGAGGTTTTCATGTTTTTGTCTTTGAATATCTGGGAACAAATCTTGCGTATATGCTGAAATACAACAGGATTAATGGTCTTAAAGTTAATTTAATTAAAATTATCGGCAAACAAGTAGCAGAAGCTTTGAAATTTTATCATTCTATAAATTATATTCATTGTGATATCAAACCAGACAATATTTTATGGACAGATGAGCAGCATGAATCCATTAAACTGATTGATTTAGGATGTACATGCAAAGAAAATCAAATATTGCATTCTTGTATTCAAAGCCGGTATTATCGAGCTCCTGAAGTAATTTTGGGATGCAATTATTATAATAAAATTGATGTTTGGAGCTATGGATGCCTTCTTTCAGAACTTTATACTGGAAGTGCAATATTTCAAGGAGAGAATGAGCAAGAGCAAATCGGAATTTATTTTTCTGCAATTGGAAGACCTCATATAAAAGATTTGAATGATGCAACACGAATTGACGAATTTTTCAATTCAAATCTTTATCCAAAAACGAAATCAGATGGTTACAGTCTTGAAGAAATATTATCATGTGATAACTCGAATCTTTTAGACCTTATTAAGCAATGTCTTCAATGGAACCCAGCAAAAGGGCCTTCAATGATTGAAATTTTGAACCATCCGTTCTTTAAAACCAAATAATTGGAAGAATATTCATATGCATGCTATGTAATGATAATTCGCTCAAGTATTCTTTGTATTATTCAATTTATCGTTATTCATTTTTGCATTTATTTTGTTATGTTTGTAAATACCTCGGTTGAGTGTGTTCGAATTTTATAATATGAATGTTTTTGATTATTAAATGTAATAAATTGAATGATTGGCCTAAATGCAGAAGGGATTCCACTCTCAATTTTGAGTTTTAGCTCAAAATAAATGGAAATTTAGATTTGTCATATATTGAAGTTTCTAAATCCTCTTTTTATTTAAGCCAAATTTTCGAAAATTTTGTCAGAAAATTTTCTGACACTCTCACTTTTTGGAGATCTACGTATGACATTAAATAACTTTTTTATAAAAAACGCTAAGGATGTCAATTTGGAAGAAAAGTGAGAAAATTCCTAAAATGCTAAAAATGAATTTTCCAAACGTATTTTTTTATCTCATTTTTTTGATTTTGAAAAAAATTTGGAGAGAAGAACTCTTCGTTTTTGAATTTTATCACGATGGTTTTAAAGTATATTAGACACATGTATTGGTATTACTATTTTTGTATATTTTGAGAGAAAATCCCTAAAAAGTGAGAAAATTTAAGACGGTTTGAGAAAATATATAAACTATTGAAAATTTGAATTAAACTTCTAATTTGGAAAAAAGAAATTTGGAAAGAAGAAAATTCAAAAATCGAGATTTAGACTCAGTATCAAATGGAGAACAAAATGTTTCTTCATATGAAGGAAAAAAATTTTCTTGTGAAGAAATAGAGTTTTTAAAATTTTATTGTATGTAATGAAATAAACAAATATTAAAATTATTTTTTGATAACAAGAAAATTCCCAATAGAAAATATTTGAGAGAAAGAAAAAAAGAAAATTGAAAAATATTACTCTCCTTTATATTTCATGAGATTTTAAATTTATTCTCATAAAATTGACAATTTTATACGTTTAGATGAAAATAAGTGATTTTGGTTGAAATAGAAATTATTATTTTGCTTACAGCTATCAAATAGATTTTTGCTATTTTGATTAAAATTTGTTAATCAAATTAATAAATTTTTTCTAAATATCTTAAATATCTGGATCACTCACATATACAATGAATTGAACGATAAAAATAATACAAACTCAACTAAGTTTCCTGTCTTTCAACTAAAAAAAATTATGCAAATTAAATTAAATTGTTTATTCAAATATAAAACAAAGATGAAGTAATTACAGTTATCATAAACTTTATGAATAACTCTGTAATTGGTTCAGATTTTCGTAAAAATATTTTTATTAATATCGATAAGAATACGTTTACCTACTATCACAACATATCGATAAACAAGAGTAGAGTGATTTTTATCATCGAAACTTTTTAAAAGCTGTAAGCTGGAAGTAAAAATCTTGTTTTTTCTGAGTTAGTTGTAGAACTATTGATGCACGAGTTATCATTGTGATGTAGAAGGATGTCAATGTACTGACTGAAGGATATGAAGTGAATTGAATTTCATTGCATTTCAATTTGATCAAAATTTGTTGAAATGATATGAATGTGTCAACATCTGTATCACTCTCTTTCACTCCTTCCCTATTCTTTCGAGAACGAAGCTAGCTCAGCTTTCGCTGAGCGAATTGACACTTTTGATGCCCTAAACGTACATGCTCTCAAATTTATCGAAAAAAATTATACCACCTAAACTAGTATATTCTTATTTTAAATATGATATTATCCTTAGAATCCACACTAGAATATATTTAAATCAACTTTTAAAAAAGTTCGAATCCTGCGCGTCTCACTTTTTAAATTTTCGAAAAGGACAATTATATTCTCCTAAAATGAAAACAATTTTCCGAATTGACATCCTTAAAAACGCAAAAATAATTCTGATCGAGCACGGTGGCAGACTCTGAAATATTTGTATTCCAATTCAAATTAATTTCGCGGAAAATTTGCAATTTTTAAAAAGAGTTTCAATTTTTCATTTTCTAAACATATTACGGAGATTCTAAATCGGCTAAAAGTAGTTATTTTTAATATTCATTGATATATATTTATATAAATTTCTAAAATTCACTTTTATTATATGAAATATTATTTTATCTGGAATGTATACTTACTAGTTTGTTAACGCCATAAATATACATAATACAAATATTTACTTTATTAAATCAACAATAATGCCGATTTTGGTTATAAATGAAAATGTATATCCTCATCAGAGAGATAATATCATATATGTAGTCAACAATCAATATTATCTTATCAATTATATTGAGATATGAGCTGGTATATGCACCATATTTCAATGCTATCTAACTCAATATCTTAATTTATTTGAAACATTGAAGCTTTTATCTACATTTGCTATCTTAAAAATTTAAAAACAGATTTCATATTTTTTACCGATTGTAACAACTAATATTTTATATCTTTATGTAGAACTATCGTTAAAGACAAATTAGTGATATATTTGATTATAATAGTGTTAAAAATACATGTGAATAATCTTTTATACGAAAAATCATATTTATATTAAAAGATTATCAATCGATTTCTCCAAATATTAAGCATTATTGTGAAAGATAGATCAAACACATTGTGATACTGATAGTAGAGAATGTTTTATACTCTAAACACTAATAATATTATAATATCATCGAAATTAGAATATGATATCCATACAACTTTGCTTAATTCTCGATCCAATCACGGTTTCAGTTAGTCATACTAGTATTCATTATACCCTGCTTGCCCCATTGATTGTCACCAAAAATCCAGCGTGGAACCACTTCTCTAAATGCCCGTAATTTCCAACGTTGGATGAAAACTTTTTATCATTATAAATTGGATTGATAATGACTGCAATCCCAAAAAAGATTGTAAAATTGGTCGGTAAATGACTGTATTGATCCTATCTCTCTCAAAAGACATTTTACTTCGGTAGGAAATTTATATAAAATTATGATGGGAAATGTTCCAGCAGATTTTATTTCGAAAATAAATAATTATCAGAATTGATGCTTCCCCATTCAATTCTATAAAAATAAACCGCTACTGAAAGTCTCAAAAGTCCCAGAATGTTTACAGTAGAATAAAGCTGGTACGCAAATTATTCAAATATTTAAAATCATCCAATAGTTTATTTATAATTATATTTCTCAAATAGTTATTTATTCAATTTCCTTTGATTTTAAATTTTATCTCATATATAAATTTAGTTAAACTAGGATAAATTAGCATATCCAAAACATACGATCAAAATTGAATACCATTCAATTCATATAATTGATAAAAAGGATACTTTTTTGAGATTCATTTTTGCAAAAAAATAACCAAACAATGAAATGTTCTGATCTTAAGTTCCTGGAAAGCCACAGTATCTATTTTAGTAGCATAATAGAAGAGTCCAAATACTCTGCAACTTATGTTGTTTATTCCCAAAAGGCACAAACAAATCTCATATTAAAGAAAATCAAAAACATATACTTTAATGAACAAGATTATGATTATATCGAAGAGATTAAAGAGGATCAGCCAATCCAGCTCTATTCATACTTCAAGCAGAAAAACAATGTCTACATGCTAAATGAATTCATTCCTAAGGAAATTTTCAGAAGAAGGAGAAATTCTTGTTCATTAAGCAATGAACAGTTAAGAAAAATATGCTTTGATGCAGCAAATGCAATCAAAAATTGTCACGAAAAGTTTATTGCATATTCTGATGTAAGAAGCAATTTATCATTGATTGATAGCATCGAAACAGGAAATTCTGATTTTGTAAGGACATCAATGCTCTTTATGGCTCCTGAACAGTTTGGAAAGAAAGAATATGACCCGTTGAAAGCAGATATTTAGAGTTTAGGTGTTTCTCTATTCCAAGCTGCAACAGGGACATTCCCTTTCTTTGCAAGGAGTGTTGTCCAATTTCAAAAACTAATAAATGCAGGAATTTTCCCTATCAACTCTGTCATGGATGAAGATTTAAGAGATATCATATCTAACTGCCTTGAAGTTAATCCAGAACTTAGGCCTGATATTGAAATCATTTTACAAATGAGATATTTTTCAGCTTTAGATTCTTCTAAACCTCAATGTTCAACTTTCAAATTAAGCATTCCGAGATCAGAAAGAACCGAATATAGAAGTGCCATCTTATCAGTTCCAATCATCAAAGAAATTTCATCTGGTTCGCCTGTTCGAATGTCTCGAATTCCATTTGCAAGACGCCTTGGAAGGTGTTCTTCTGAGAAAAAGTTATAAATTTTGTTTTTGTTTTGTTTCTAAAAAAATATTCATGTAAATTTAAAGGTAGTCTCACGAAAATACGTTATTTTCCCGATGCCTTGGAAGCAGCTTTACAGGTTACCCGTAAGGTAACCAGTAGAAGTTTCTGAGCAAGGATGAAGAAGATTAAAGAGCCTTTTTATTGCAAACGCTATATTTGTAAGTGTCTTTGTAGAACTTCTCATAAATTCAAAGATTTCCAAAAACGAATTTTTCGATTTTGATATAATAAATGATATTTAAACAAATTATAGATGTGTTTGCAATTAAAAAAATCCGAGTTAACTACAATATCTTCAATTTTTGTCGTTCACTTTTTCATGTCATACTGATAGCAAGAATACTCACCCAATTTAGTTACACTTCATGATAGTTTGAAGTAAAAAAAGGCCACAGTTTTTTTTATTTGATATCGTTATCTAAATTTTGTACAGAAATGAAATAAATTATAATATGAAACGTGTGTTATTATGCTTGTTGGGAAACAATCCAATACTTATGTCTGAATGAAATGATTATTTCTACGAGATTTTTCATATTCAGCTAATAATGCTATCAAAATCAAATAACAATAAAAAGTTATTTTGTACATAATGTAACTTAATCTTTAATACTATATAGAACTTCGAAATACGACTAAACGGTGCGAGTTACGTGATTAAATACCTTTTTTTCGATCGAAACTTGAAAGTGAGGATAACTCAATGGGTAGGGGTATGGGTTCGACTTTTTCTATTGGGCAACTATTTTTTTCTTTTCATTGTTTCAGCATTTTTTATGCGATTATGTAATAAACAGAAATTCATCAAAAGTGACAGCTCTCAATTTTTTGACATTTGTAAATTCTAAATTGAATGAGAAAAATGAAATAATACTAAGCATAATACAATATTCTAGATTTAATTATAATTAGGAAAAAGTTAGTTTTGAGAGTACTTTTCATAGGCATATAGAATGAAATCTTCTGAAAAATAATATCACATAAACTCATATTATTTTCTAATATATAACTATTTTATATAAAAATCAAATTCAATGATCTTAAAAGCGAAGGATAAACCTCAAAATTTACGAATATAATGAGTGGGAATATAATGCTTATCTATCATAAAACCATATGAAATATAAAATAAACAATCAAGTAATTTAATGGATACTCGGTGAATTATTCGAAATGTGATGAAAAGTTGTAATTTATAAACATCAATTGTTAGAATGTAAATGAGTTCAAATTGATATAAAAATAAGTAGACGAAACCGCTAAAATGTGTGTAACCTCTTGATAATTTATCGTCAAAATTTTGTCACTTTTATTGCAATAGATTGAAGGGTTGCAACGTTGTTTTATATTAACTTTTGTCAAATTTCCACGAATTGTTTAGAAGCGGCGCTCAATTGATATTTGCTGAAACAAATGAGGTGAAATGATTTTACTTCAGAAAACAAAATTCGAAATTTTCTTTTAATAATACTAAAAACCTTATTCCAAGTTGTTTTTCCGATTGAGAAATTTATTGAATTTATAAAAAAATTACTCAAACTCATTTTTTCGAAATGCAGCTTCACCTTAGAGTCATTGAGGCAAGAGACATGCCAAAGGAAGATACATTTGGCAAATGCGATCCATTTGTTCAGATCAGTGTTGGCTCTCTCCCAGTTAAGAAGACCAAAGTTATCAAAAACACTTACAACCCTAAATGGGAAGAAGAATTCCATTTTGATCTTCCAAATCCAGGTACACCAATCTTCCTCAAGTTCATTGACTATGATGAAGTCGGTTCAAATGATCCTTTCGGATCTGTCCAACTCAACACAAATAGTATAATGGTTGGCCAAGTTGTAGATAACTGGTATCCACTTACACCTGTAAAGTCCGGTAAGAGGGTAGGCGAAGTTCACTTGAAACTTCAAGTAGCTCCAACAGGTCATCCTGCCTTCCATCCATTCCAGGCTATGCCACCACCACAAGGTGTTGCATACCCACCACAAGGAATGCCACCACCAGGTCAATATCCACAGCAAATGCCTCCACCAGGCCAATATCCTCCTCAAGGACAATACCCACCACAAGGACAGTATCCACCAGGTCAATATCCTCCTCAAGGACAATACCCACCACAAGGACAGTATCCACCAGGTCAATATCCTCCTCAAGGTCAGTACCCACCACAAGGACAGTATCCACCAGGTCAATATCCTCCTCAAGGTCAGTACCCACCACAAGGACAGTATCCACCAGGTCAATATCCTCCACAAGGACAGTATCCTCCACAAGGACAGTATCCACCAGGTCAGTATCCACCACAGCCTCAGCCAGGCCAATATCCACCAGGTCAGTATCCACCGCAAGGAATGAGCTATCACGATCAGAAGAAAGCTCAAAAGAAAGCTGAAAAAGAGCACAAGAAGGACCAAAAGAAGGCAGAGAAAGCGGCCAAGAAGTTAGTTAAGAATGTTTTAGGAATTAAGCTTTAAACAATTAGCGTCTATTATTAGAATATCCATGTTAATAAGTTTGAGATATTTAGTATCAATTTTTTACTTTATAAGCTAAATTTAGCTAAATTTAAAAAAATCGAAATTTTTGCAGATTGTTAAATCGAGCTACGAATGATAATCATGATTTAAATTGCTTACGCTAAATTAACATCTGAAATGCCGGAATAATAAGGTCAGATTATGAAAGGAAAAAACTGTAACGTAGGAAATGAAACGACATGAAACTAATATGCTTGTCTAGTATGTTATTGTGGCATTATGGAGAATTTAGGGTTCGAGATCTCTATTGTATATTGATGATCCAATTCTATCGAAAATAATAGTCAATTATTGGGAATATGCATCTTTTCAACTAATAAAAGTTCTCAATTGTGGTAAATAATGAAAATGAGATCAACAACGATTTTTTATTATGGTTTTGGTATCGTTAAAATTTCTGACACTCACGGTGAAGTGAGATAAAAGCAATAAAAAAATTCAAATAAAAAAATGAGGGAATTTTATGATAAAAATAATAGCTATACGGTTATTTTGTTATTATTAATTTGTTTGTTGAATTTAAGATATAAAAAAAACTCATTTTTTCGAAATGCAGCTTCACCTTAGAGTCATTGAGGCAAGAGACATGCCAAAGGAAGATACATTTGGCAAATGCGATCCATTTGTTCAGATCAGTGTTGGCTCTCTCCCAGTTAAGAAGACCAAAGTTATCAAAAACACTTACAACCCTAAATGGGAAGAAGAATTCCATTTTGATCTTCCAAATCCAGGTACACCAATCTTCCTCAAGTTCATTGACTATGATGAAGTTGGTGCCAACGACCCATTCGGCAGTGTTCAAATTAATTCAAACAGCTTAGTCATCGGCCAAATTGTTGAAAATTAGTATCCTCTTACACCAGTCAAATCCGGCAAGCACGTTGGCGAAGTCCACTTAAAGCTTCAAGTAGCTCCAACAGGATATCCTGCCTTCCAGCCATTGCAGACAACAATGTCGCCACCACAAGGTGTTGCATACCCACCACAAGGAATGCCACCACAAGGACAGTATCCACAACAATATCCACAACAAATGCCATATCCAGGCCAACTTCCTCCACAAGGACAATATCCTCCAGGCCAATATCCACCACAGCAGCCTGTTCCAGGTCAATACCCACCTCAGGGACAATATCCTCCACAAGGTCAGTATCCACCAGGCCAATATCCACCACAGGGACAGTATCCACCAGGTCAGTATCCTGCTCAGGGTTTGACACACAAGGATCAAAAGAAGTTAGAAAAGGAACAAAAGAAGGCTGAAAAGGAGTTCAAGAAAGAACAGAAGAAGGCCGAAAAAGAAGCTGAGAAGGCTTACAAGAAGGCTCATAAGCATTAGAAATACAAAAAATATAATTTTAACAAAATAATTACTAAAAGGATTTTAACATGAACTTTTTAAGCTATTAAGTCCATTTATCTAAATTTGATACTTTTTTCAAAAAAAAAAATCAAATTTCTAATGAATAGCATAAAAGAAAAATATATGACCAGTGATTTAAATGTAAAAATAGATAAGCCATAAAAAATAAGAATATTATAATTTTGAAAAAAACGAAAAGTTCTTGTGGAAACTCGCATTATAACCAAATGTGTTCTTGCATATATACGTCAAGGTATTTATTTGTAACAAAAATATTCAAAAAATTTTTTTCATCAATAAATAGTGGGGTTTCTGGGCTTTATAAAGTATGAATTATTCGTTAATAAATTTTCTAAATCAAATGAATTTATTAACCATAAGTACAACAACTTAAAGAGAGAATGAATCTGAATTATCTCAATTTTTCAATCTTTTCTGAAGTTCTCAAACTTAAATAATGCAGAATTGTAAAAATATTATATATATACTCTATTTGGATTAATTGTTGTTTTCTGAATGATTCAAAAATTGAAGTTATATTGAAAATCGTTGTAAATTTGTCAAATGCCATAATTTGAAGTATCGATATATTATTTCTGGTATTTTTCTTCATACTAAATAAAATGTATTTAAAAAAAATCATCATTCAAAGCCACTCTACGATAAAGAATATGAATTGAATGGAAATATCTGATTTATGAATCAACCACCACAAATAATTAAAATAAGGAATGGAAATAAAAAAGTTTTTTTTTCTATAAATGAATTGCGATTAAAGAAGAATAGGTTTAGTGAGTATATGCTTTTGCTGTTATTAATAATAAATTAAAATGTTGTTTAGGTTAAAAATGCTCATTTGAATGGGAAAAATAACATATTGTCAAAAAAGGAAAATTGACAGTCAGGCGTCAAATTCTTCTCAAATTTATAATTTATTCAAATTAAAAAATAATTATTATTATAATTTAAAGATCAAACTATTACAGTTGGAGCAACATTAAAAATAAGCAAGAATTTACTTGATTGAAAAGTTTACAAATTCAAAATTCATGATTTCGAAAACCGAGAATAAGTCAGACGAGCATTATAGACTAGGTGGTCGGCCACCATTAACTACAATACTTGTTTTGGCGTTTGGTGCAATTATGTCACAAGTTTCGAGTGCACTTTTCGGAATTGTTGATTCTATGTGGGTATCCAAAGCTCTTGGAACTAAAGCTCTTGCTGCTGTGAGTACATACAGTCCATTTGACTACATTGGAAGAGCATTCGCTTTCTTCCTCACAGTTTCCGGTGCATCCAAGATTTCCGCTTTATTAGGCGAAGGAAAAGGCGAAGAAACATCACAAGTGATATGCGATATACTCAGAGTAGAGCTTATTCTCGCAGTTTTCATCCCATGCTCAATGCTTCCATGGGTCAAAAAAGCGGCAGCATGGTTTGGAGCGTCCAAAGATGTTGTTGACTTGGAATTCCACTTCATATCAGTCACTTTAGGTTTCCAAATAACAACTGGAACATTTTACGCAATTGGAGGCTTTCTCCAGGGAGAAGGAAGATCAATTGCTTTTGGAATAGCAAATGTCATATCATGCTTGCTCAATATGTTGCTGTTAAATCCACTTTTACTTTACTACACCAATTTGTCGGTTGCTGGATCTGCAATTGCGACAATCATGGCGGATGGACTTCCAGCGATTGTTTTGTTCATTATGTACTTTACAGGAAGGTTCTCAGTCAAACCAAAATTCAGCCAGTTCTTCAAAAAGTTCTCGCCACATACTTTTCCAGCTTTGAGAGTCGGATTATCCGCTTTGATCGCGTATTTGTCGATGTCCATTCCAGGTATCATGATACAGAGGTTCATAGGAAGCTCTGCACAAAGCGTGTTCGAGTACAACTGCGTCATCAGCGGAAATACTGTTTCGTACCGAGTCGCCCTAATAATTGTAGCTGTAACAATAGCACTAAACGCTGGATACCTGCCATGCGCGTCATACGCATACGCATCTAAGAACTACAAGAGATGGCTTCGCCTGACAATTCACCAATGTTGGCTTAACTTTGCCTGGGGATCATTATGTGCAACAATAATCGTAACAATCCCTGTACATATAAGTATGATGTTCGTTAAGGACAAAACAGAGCTTTATTACGCTTCAACAATGTTGTTTAACGGTTGCTGCGGATTTTTTATTGGATGGCTCCGAAATAACTCCCAATCTATACTGCAATCAATGCAGAAAGGTCCATTTGCATCAATTCTGTCGTTGTTCACTCAAATGATTTCATTAGTTGCTTGTTCTGTTGGCTTGTCCTTAACTAACAAGCATAATGCGCCGAGAATAGAATTCGCATATCCTTTGTCATTTTTAATTGGAGGAGTAATTTGTATTGTAGCTTTGATTTTCCCGATTGGAAAACTATATAAGGAAGTAAATGGAAAGGGCAGCCAAAGGTACACAGCTATCAGAACACCTTTGGAAATGAGTTTGGATACTGACGCTGCTACATAAAAACTAAAATTATAACGTGTTTTGTTGGATAAATAGTTCTGGATATTGTGCAAATAAATATATTGTATCAAAGTTATTTAAAATGTTTCATTTAAGTAATTCGAAAAAATGAATAACTTAATTTGGAGAATTTTTTAAAGATAAATCCATGCCAAACTGAATTTCGAGCCTAAATTATGAGCTGCAGTCATTATCTGGAAGCGCAATGTGTAAGTATAAATGGAATTTCTCGGTTGAGAAAAAAAATAAGTGTTCAAATTATCAAAGTGTTTTTTTTTCGAAATTACGATCAGATTATGTTTTTGGAACTATCTAAAGCACCTATACATCAATGTAACTATTTCGATTAGCATTAGAGCTTCGTATGAAAGTTTTTTGAAATTTGAAAAACAAAATCACTTTGATATAGATCGAAAGCATTCAATGCATGTAAGCTTATAACAGGAGTTATAAAAGTACTATTAGTAATATGTAATAAAGCTTTTTCATAGAAAGATAATTTCAAACTAAAAATTGAAACATGACAGAATTTTAAACATCTAAAAAGTGTCGGCTCATTCAAAATCGAATGTCAATTCAAAAAATTCGATGGATAAAATTTAATTGATAGTATAATTGTATTGTGATTTTAATTTTAAAAGAAAATTTGATTTCTGTTGATTGAATAGTTTACAATTTCAAAAACATGATTCCAAAAGCACAGCAGTCTGCGGATGAGCACTATAGACTTGGTGGCAGGCCGCCATTATGAACTATCGTAGTCCTATCTTTCGGTCCAATATTGTCGCAAGTGTCTAGTGCTCTTTTCGGTTTCGTAGATTCCATTTGGGTATCAAAGGCAATTGGAACAAAAGGACTAGCAGCTGTCAGTACATACACTCCATTTGATAATATTGGCAGAGCATTCGCGTTTTTCTTAAGTGTTTCCGGTTCGTCAAAAATTTCTGCTTTATTCGGCGCTGGGAAAGGTGAAGAAACATCACAAGTCATCTGTGATTTACTAAGAGTAGAACTCATTTTTGCTGTCTGTATCCCATGTGCGATTCTTCCATGGGTGAAACATGCAGCAATGTGGTTTGGCGCCTCCAAAGAGATTGCAGACCTAGGATTCAACTTTATTGCTGTTACATTAGGTTGCCAGATATCAACCGGAACCTTTTATGCAATTAGAGGCTTCCTACAAGGAGAAGGAAGAACATTACTTTTCGGATTGGCAAATGTTTGTTCGTGTTTACTTAACATGCTTTTATTTGACCCTATCTTACTATACTTCACCAATCTTTCTGTCGCAGGAGCTGCAATCGCTACGATTTTGTCAGATAGCCTCCCTGCAATCACTTTATTTGCTTTATACTTTGCAGGGAAGTTCTCGATCAAAACGAAGTTCAACCAATTCTTCAAAAAGTTTTCCCCGCATACATTTCCAGCGATGAGAGTTAGGTTTTCCGCTTTGATTGCAAATCTTTCAATGTCAATCCCTGGAATTCTGATTCAATGGTTCATAGGGAGATCAGCGCAAAGTGACTTCGAGTATACATGCGTTCTAAGTGGAAATACAGTTACTTTCAGAATTGCGATGATCGTGATCAGTGTAATCATAGCAATAAATGCAGGATACCTGCCATGTGCATCATATGCATACGCAGCGAAGAACTACAAGCGCTGGATTCGTTTGACAATCCACTTGTGTTGGATTAATTGCGCGTGAGGTACTTTCTGCTCATTATTAATAGTCTCAATACCTGTTTACATATCAAGGTTGTTCGTTTCAGATCCAACAGAGCTTTATTACGCCTCAACAATGTTATTTAACGGTTGTTGCGGATTTTTCGTTGCCTGGATCCGAAATAATGCACAAGTTATGCTGCAATCGCTTCAGAAAGGCATGCTTGCCACTGGTTTGTCTTTGGTCACTCAAATGGTGCTTTTGGTTTTATTCTTAACGATTATGTATCTTACAGATAGGCACAGTGCGCCTAGGATCGAGTGGGCTTATCCTTTATCTTTTGTTTTTGGAGGAGCAATTTGTATTTTGGTTTTGTTTTTCCCTGTGAAAAATCTCTATATGCTGATGAAAGAAGCTGACAATGGCAGCAAAAATGATGTTGATGAACATGATAAAATTGAAGTAATTCCTGAGCTTTAGATCAAAATTTATGGAATTGATGAAAATTTATATTATTGTATTGTAAAATATGTTGTTTTGAAGTATACTTTTATTTTACCAGTCAACATTCGTTGATAACTTGAAAAAGAACTCATGAAGAATTCAAATTTTATGCAAAATGGCATCAATGCACTCCCTAGAGCTGCTTTTACTATAATGTGGATTTTATGTAAAGAAATTTAGAAAAATGAGTTTATTTTGCCTTGAAACAATTATGATCTGATTTGAGCCTCTTGTTTTATAACTCATTGATGTGTAGAAATAAGTACAGTCTGGGAATTGAAATTCAATTTTATTAATTTAGTGATATTATTTGTTTTTGAAATGTGTTCTCTCTAGTTATTCAAAATCTGATCTAAAATTTTTTTATGTAAAATTTTCGACGATAGAAAAAAAATATATAAAAATGATATGTTTTTTTATAGTATATTTAGTTAAATTTGGCCTGTCTGCTTCTATTACTTTTAATATTAGCAATACCCCTGCTCTTGGGTACAAAATCTCCGATGGAAAAGCAGGTCTTGGGAGTACAATTGATAACACTCCGTGTATTGCCAAAGACTACGCTGGACCTCTTAACATTCCTGATAAACTTGATTCTGATGGTGTTTCATACGAAATCATCGAAATTGGTAAATATGCCTTTTCGGATGTAAAACTTACGAGCATTGTCATTCCAAAATCTGTCACAAAGATTTGTCAGTATGCATTTTCCGAAACTACGACATTGCAAGCGATTAATTTACCAAAAGTCGTCGAAATTGAATCATTTGCTTTCTATAAAACAAAAGCTGACATAACAGTTACAGAAAGTTTGAAAAAAATTGGTGAATCAGCCTTTGCATTGGCAGATTTCAGAAATAATTTCGATTTGAGCAAATCATCAGTTGAAACTATCGAAAAAGAAACATTCAAGCAAGCAGATTGCGAAAATGAGTTCACATTACCACAATCCCTTACAACAATTAAAGAAAATGCTTTTATTTTCTTCACCGTTGACAAAATCAATTTTCCACCAAAACTCACTACAATTGGAGATCATGCATTTGCTAATTCAAAAGTCACAGAAATCTCCTTTGAAAATTCAGCCCTTACAGAGCTTCCAGCGAACTGTTTCTTTAGTTGTCTCAAATTAACCACTGTAAAATTCGGAAATCAACTTACAAAGCTTGGTGATGAGTGTTTCCACAACGCAGGTCTTGTCAAAGTCGAACTCCCTTCGTCATTAAAAACAATCGGAAATTTATGTTTTTCGTTGTGCAAAAAGCTTATTGCTGCCAACCTTCAGAACACTCAGGTCACAGAGATTCCTGACGGATGCTTCCAGCGGTCCCTCATTACAACGATTTTTCTCCCTCCAAAACTTGAAAAGATCGGCGTCGGCGCATTTGCAAACTCAGCCTTAGTCGGAATACATCCTCCGCCAACTCTGTACTATATCGGTGATTCTTGCTTTATTTATTCGAAGATTTCCCACATTTCTCTGAATAATACAGCGATGAAGTACCTAAACGACAGAGTTTTCTACGGATGCAGCAACATATCCGATATAGATCTTGGAACAAAGATCGAGAAGATTGGAAATGAAGTTTTTGCTCTTTCCTCCCTCAAAACAATAAAAATACCAAACATAAAATCTATCGGAGAGGGATGTTTCTTCGGATCCCAGATCCAGCAGATCGATTTGTCCCATCTATCCATCACTTCTCTCCCTGACAAAATATTTCTGAACTGCTCTCAATTAGAAACCGCTCTTCTGCCAACTTCGATCAAATCTATCGGAGAATCGGCCTTTGAGAGCTCCGGACTGGCCAGCTTCGACATCACCGCGCAGTACATCGGAAAGAGGGCATTCCACTCCTGCGGAAACCTCCAATCCATCACTTTGACTAATACTGTTGAAATTTTGGAAGAATCTTTCAGCTTAACCTCACTAACAGATGTTGTTTTGCCAGAAACACTCACCAAAGTTGGTGCGAGATCGTTCGAGATGATTTTAACCCTTCAAAGCTTCGATTACGGAAAATCAAAAATTAATTTCATAGAGCACAACATGTTTATGGACGATTTCAAACTCGAGAACGTAACATTCCCACAAGGAGAGTTCAAGATCGGCTACGAAGCCTTCAAACACACCGCGTTGGTCAATCTGACACTCGATGACCGCTGTACATACATTTACGAGAGGGCCTTCATGAACTGCGGCTCCCTCCTGAACGTGAACCTTTCGATTTCGAAGGTGCCGTACCTGTCAAACCAGACTTTTTACGATTGCGAGAATATCTACGACATCGCGATCTCTGATTTCACCATCGACATCGAGGACTCTGCCATTCCGCCTCAGGCAGTGAATGTCTACTACTGTGGAACGAGCTGCTTCAAGGGTGACTTGAATCTGACTCAGAAAGTCATTGTCCCGAAGGAATACGCATGCAGCAAGTTCGGCCACTGCGACGTGACAAAGATTGACAACTTCCCGTTCCCAGTGGATTTCCACAAAACAAAAACAGGAAGAAACTATGGAGTGACGGTTGTGACGGTTATTTTTGTAATTGCATTGTTTGGTATTATTGGATTTGTTCTGTACAAGAAGTTCTTGAGGAAAAAAGCTCCTCAGGACGAGGGATACCTTATCTCTCAATCAGAGCAGGAAAAAGAATCTAATTTATTTACATAATAAACTTTTTTTATTTATTTATTTTTTTTTTGAATTGATATTCAAAAAATTTGAAATAATTTGTCATGAGTTTTCGAATCAATATTTCTGAAATTAAGCATGTATTGACATTTGCTTCAAATCTAATATGTGATGACAGTCAATACTTATCTTTCTTATTCTCATCACCTCGTAAATATCTCTTGGAAAAATATCTGATTTATTGGAGTGTGAGAGTATTTTATGAAGTGGGATATGTTTTTTTGAGAGTAAATGACTTTATATATGCTGAATCTTTAACTATTGAATCCTTAGATTTTAGCTTTTAGAAAAAGAAAAGAAGGCGTATATTCCTATTCAGTTCAAGACTGTCTAATTTGATGAACCTGAAGCTATTCTATGGAATGCTGTTGTTTTTTCAAGCTTCCCACACGCTCTCTCTTTCTCTGCTTGTCTCTTTCTCTTCCCCTCAATTTTGATAAACTTTGGTTGAAGATGTCTGTCTTTATGAAGAACTTAAGGGTGCGCTAAAGGCCAAACTTCCCCTATCGTCAATTTTAAAAACTTGTACTTTAGGTACCTCGAAACATTTATTTTTTGAGAAAAAATAAATTTCGTGATTTATGCTAGGTCGATCCTGGGCAAGCAATATATATAAGAATTTTATTGAAATCATGTCACTATTTCTAAATTTGAATTTTATCTCTTCCAAAAAACATGAATTATGAGTCATCGTACTTATTATAAGATATTCTATTATGTGTTTATTAAGATTTAGTATTGTGCACTAAATTTTTATGTATAAATATCAAAGAATAAATGCAATTATTATAAAAAATTGTCTTAGAGTTTTCTATACTGAAATATGAGTTGTCTGTAATATATTAAACAAAACGACATTATATCCAATGAAAATATATCAAAAATTAAAAATTAATCGAAATTTAAGGGTTTGGATAATTTAGTAGACCTTATCTCGCAAAATTGCATTTGCTAGGATTGTTGTGCATATTATCATATGGGACAATAGCTATTACCATGAAATCAGATAATTTAATTTACAATTATGAGCACTTCAGCAATAAAAATATAATGGTGCATAATTATTTTGAACATTTAATATATTTCAACAATAAAAATGGGGTATTACTCACAATTTTTTGGCTTTAGCGCGGGGTAGGATTAAAACAATACCGTTTATTAAAAAACTAAATATTGGGTATTTTTATGGTTTTAAAGCAGTAATTGAATACCCTTTATACAAATCTATGAACGCGCTAATTTGTTGTAGAAAATATTAACCAGATAAATTTTTTTTGAACGCCGTAGAAAAAACTAAAAAAAATCGAAAAAAAGCATATTTTAGCCAAAGTTCCTCATTATACAAGATAATGATTTGTGATCACTTGTTTAAAAATAGAAGATCGCGCATATATGCTTTTAGTCCAAAGACATCTAGAATAAATAGCATCAATAAGAAGGACAGATCTACATAAGATTTCCGTGTAAACAAAGCGTTTTGAGAGAACTCATAGAAAAATTGAGAGGCTTTAGCGCACCCTTAAGAGGAAATTGTTTATATCGATATGTGTGCATATATAGTGGTGTGTGTAAATGATATATTTTTGTTGAATGAAAGCAATTCTGTATCTTTGGAAAAAGGAATTTTCAATCCCATAATAACATGTGCATGAGGAGCATTAAAATAGAAAAGAAAGTGAATTGTTGAAACAATATTGTTCATCAGTTAATAAGGATATGGAGTATTTTAATAATTTAATAATATAAACGTATTAATGTCAAGAATAATTTGAAAAACATCAAAAATAAAAAATTAATCTATTTGGAATTGATTAAAATAATGTATTACTACATAACATTATTGGTCAATATTGGAAAAATGTAGATATATTTAACCTGGTGTATAAATTCGTTCTTAATCTTTCTTTGGGCGCATATAATATGAACGACATATAAATTTCCATGGTTATATGATGATTTTATGTAAATTTTAATGAAAAAAATTATAACTTCAAGGTAATTTAAAGGTTTAATAAGTGAATAAATATTTTTTATGAAATTATAAAAGGGTAAATGTTACATGTGATAGAAATAAGATTATAAAATATTCGTCTCCATATTCGTAAGGCTTATTATTCCTTCAATTGGTAAGAAAGTTTGAATGCTTCTTCAAATAATTGAATATATTGAATACAAAGTCTATTTTTGACACATTTCAGAGTAATCGACCGATCATTGTTCTGAGATGATTTTCGGAATAAACCTGAGATGTAATCTGAATGTTTGACTAAATGGTTATTATTTGAGTGACTTTTCTAAATCGAAATTTTATTAAGAGTGTTAACTTTGGCTTTAGTAGTAATGAGATGATTGTAATGTTAACGTTTGTCGCAGAATTATATGAAAATAGAGTATTATGGCAATAATAAAATTTGATAAAAATTTTTGCAGAGTTATCTCATTTGTCGAATCCATACAGCAAGTCTATCTTATGTCTATAGAATTTTATGTAATGAATCCTTGATATTTTCTAATCACTAAAATGTCATATCAATTTGTTCAATAATTAAGTACGCAGAGTAAGTAATTATATTTTCCTTATACTTTGCTTGTGAATTTAGTAAAAAATAGAAGTGAATTAAAATAACATAATCAAATAAAACAATTTAATTTCGAAAAAAGTTCAAAGAACTTAAGCAAGCTGTGGAATAAGTGTAGATATTGGCTGGAATATGCATTTTGGTGCGTCACGATGATTTAGTAGCTCTGTAACTGAGAGAATTTCGACTTTTGGTCGGGCTAGGAAATGCTTTGAAAGCATTAATTCTCCGGGCAAAGGAGTTTTCTCTATGATTCCAGCACTTTCTAAGATATGAGAAATCTGGTAAAGTTTGCATAGTGTCGTTTTGAACCTATTGTTCGATCTTGACAAAAACATGCCTATCTGTCTAATGTCAAAGCATGGAACTTTCAGTGAGAGGATACATTTGATAAAGGAGAGTGTCAGCTGCGTGATGGAAATGCAATCATCCGAAATTATGGTATCTTGGGGAATTTGGTTCTCGCATATGTTATAGCGCTTTCTTAAGCTCTCAAACTTATGAATGACATTTTTAAGCCCGCACCATTCAATAGTTTCGAGATTTAATTTGACGCAAATTCCTACGATATCAAAAACGTTAATGACATCGTAAAGCCTTCTTTTCTGGAAATGAAAGGTTTCGCAGATGTAATTTAGGGAAACTTTGATGCCAATATTTTGTTCTCCAAAACGAATCAAATTGAGGATGGATTGGCGAAAGCTCTCCGGCTTGCACGGCTTCAATGGAAACGTTGGGATACTAAGAAGGGATTTAAGGTTGGGAGTGTAACTTTCTGGCGTTGGTTCGAAACCACAAATCATATTACTGAATGAATTTAATAGGACTCATAGAATTCCAGAATTTTGATGAGCCTCATAGAATAAAAGCGGCATCCTTGAATATTTAAATCATATTTGATCGTTTCAATTTTTCGGTGATATTGACGTTTATTCAGTATATATTATTTTTCTTCAAAAAAATTGCATGGATAAATATCATTAGAATTTCTTAAATTTCGACCAATTATGAAATAAATTAATTAATTTGAATATATTCATGATTATAGATATGTTTAGATTTAATTTCAAAAATTGTGAGATTTATAAAAAAAAGCATCGTTTTGGCAATTCAACATTATCGGATAGTGAGCAGTATTTCAAGTAATTTGACAATGTTATCGCTTTTTGATATTTGAGTTTTTAATAATTTGTGTAAAATAATTTATCCTTGTTCTCATACCTAAGAAAAGTTGAATTGACCAATCTTCCCTAAGAATGCTGTACATGATTGCTGAAAGGTCATAAATAGCAATGGGTGCGTCTTGGTTTTCTTAGAAAACAAGTTCAAGCAATAATTTCAAATTTTGATACATAAAAAGATATAAAGTCAAAAAAACAATTGATTTTAGTGTTGGTGTGTCAAGCTCTTTCCGAAGAAAGTTCATTAAATCCCATTTTTTGAAGATTTTATCTGAAAAAAAATGTTTAAAATTGGGCGTAGCGATCAAATTATATTACTTTTGGGGGTGTGTTGATCTTATATCTTGTAATGATTTTAGCATAACTCTATTGTCAATTGAAATCTTAAAAAAAAAATCAGATTTCGACGAATTGTAAAAATATTTTAGCCATGTCACAAAATATTATGGACTTCCTGAACAAAAACCAATATTAAATTTACAATAATATTTCAATTTAATAAAAAGATTCCACATAAATTTATTTCTTAACAATTTATGGCATGATCAAGATCTATTATTTACTTATAAAATAAAATTAAATAAAAATTGTTATATATCAATTTTAATAAGGGTGTTTGCTATACTATATTTTTAAGCATTAGAAAACAAAATCAAATCTTGCTAAATTTCAAAAAAACTTCAAATGATTTAAAAAAGTCAAAATTGTTTTACAAAAATGACCAAGTGCAATTACTTTTGATAAATCATTTTTATATCTATATAAAATACTAGGACATGTATCAAATGAGAATGCATTTTCACTTCAACAGCATTATTGGAAGTTAAAAAACTTTGTTTTAGAGGTTTTCTATAAACAACAAATTGATTAATAGCGACGCGCAAGAAAGGACATTTTTCGAAAAGCAAATATTTAACGATGACATCTTTAATTATTGCCATTATTTATACAATATATATCCTTATCGGTTTTATCATTAAATTCCACAAGTAACTATAAAGCTGATGAAAAAAAATCATTTATAAAACATTAATACTTGCTTTTGAGTAAAAACATAATAATTCATGATTATTTTTATATATTTGGTAAAATAAAGTTAAATACACCACTCATTAAATTGAATAATTTCAAATTTTTGTCATGTAGCAAATAATAGTAGAAATAATGTATATATCTCAAAAATTAAATAATATTATTTTTATTATAAAATTGTAAATCTTTCAAAAAAATCATCCTACAAAATCATATTGCATAATGCCTGAATATGTTTGATATTTTAATATCAATTTTTTCATTCAAATTGATTTGAATTGAAACTTCACTATTGATGAAATCTGCTGACAAAGAGAAACATAGAGTTCAAAAGAAAATGAAAGTCACTGCAGAAGAAGACAGGAAATTGCGCCAATTAGTTTATATTCACGGAGAAAATAATTGGGAAGAAATTTCAAAAAGAATGCAAAATCGAAATGTTAGACAGTGTCATGATAGATGGCATTATTATTTATCACCTAATATTAATACATCTGTATGGACAACTGCAGAAGAAAACACCTTATTGGAATATGTTGAACAATTTGGCAGTAAATGGATCAAAATTGCATCAATGTTCCCTGGAAGAAACGACATACAAATTAAGAATAAATGGAATTCATTAAAAAGAAAATACTCCTTATCTAAACCCCTCAGAATTGAAGTTAGAGAAACAGACATTGAGAAGGAAGGAACTGAATCTGATTCTAATAAGGATGAACTTGATTCATTGTTTGATCCTAATCTACGACTTGCTGATTTTCCAATTCCTTACACTTATGATGCGGCATTTGACATTTAGGATTTACTCCTTAATACATTTAAATACGTTTGTTAATTAAAAATCTTTCTTATTTAAGTTTCATCTTGGAATTTCAAACCATTTTAAATTCAAAATGGATTCTCATAAATGGAAACATCTATCTATTGCCATACTCAACTAGTCTATTTTATCCATTACAGAAAGATACTCCAATTGTTAATTTCTGAAGACTATTGAATAATTTCAATATTTAAACAACCATGAAAAATATGAATGTTTCCACAGTATTTGATCCGACATATTGAATGTTGGTTGGAAAACATCTCAATTTTCATAAAAACTAAAAGTGACAAAAATTTTATGCAAAGTCTTAAAGTTGTCATTGTCGGCGACACGCAAGTCGGAAAATCATGCATTGGTGCGAGGTATACACAAGGAACGTTTGATGGTGATACAACTCCAACAATTGGAGCTGCTTTCTTGACAAAAGTAATTTCGACAGAAAAAGGATCTGTTCGTTTGCAACTATGGGATACCGCTGGTCAGGAAAAGTTTAAATCTCTTGCTCCAATGTATAATCGATCAGCTGGCGTAGTTATTATTGTTTATTCAATAACAAATAAATCATCTTATGATTCTGCGCGTGAATGGGCAAGAGATATAAGAGAAAAGGCATCTCCTATTGCTAAAATTGTGTTAGTTGCCAATAAAATTGATTTAGAAGATGAACGCGTAATATCAACTCAAGATCTAAACACTATGGCAGCAGAGATTCATGCCGACTACGCAATTGAAGTATCTGCAAAGACAAATGCTGGTATTTCTGCTTTATTTACACGAATTGCCGTACTTTGTGAGGATGGAAATAATTACATGGATAAGATTGGTGATCAAGTGATAATACCTGAGCAGTCTAAGGGAGGATGCTGCTAATACGCAATTGCATTTATTTTTTCCCTTCATTAGAATTGTCATTTTTTTTTATTTTTTACAAATAAATCTATTCAGTTATACCATGTTTTATTTACCTCCGAAGTCAATAAAAGAAATCAAAATTTGCGAAATTTGGAAAATAAAAATTAAAAAAAAATAAGAAATGATGGTGGAAATCTTACATCATTTTTAGTTGTATGAGGATTGATTTATTAATGAGGACAAATGAAAATGAAATTTAATGGAATTCGCAGCTTCTGAGAGTTGGGACAGAGATCTTGCCCTCTGGAACTGTAAGGTGCTGACCCTTGTAGCAGGCGAATCCATCAGCATCGATTGTGCAGTGTGGTCCGGCTTCCTTCCAAAGCTTGCCCTTTGTATCAACTGGAACTGGTTCTGTCTTGCAGAAATCACCAAAGAGGACGCGAGTACCGATTGGTGTCTCAGCTGGTGGGTCGAGAAGTTCGACAATTGTGTGGTCAGCGTTGGAAGCAGCGAAAACCATACCTTCTGATGGAAGTCCACGGATCTTTGATGGCTTGATGTTGCAGAAAACAACAACATGGCGATCCTGCATCTTTTCGATTGGAACAAAGTTACGAACGCCAGTGATAACGTGCTTTACAACGCCATTACCAATGTCGATTTCCTCCTTGTAGAGTGTGTCAGCATCTGGGTGTGGTTCAATCTGGATGATCTTGCCAACACGGATATCAAGATAAGAAGCTGGATCAAAAACTTCTTTTGGTGGTTCTGGGGCCTTTGGCTGTTTTGGCTTCTTCTCTCTCTTCTTGCCTTGTGGTTTTTCGGCAACTGGCTCGGCTGGAGCTACAACTTCTGGTTTAACTTCTTCAGACATGACCAAAAATTTGGCACTTTTCTGATCGGCAATTTTCCAAATTTTTGAGTTTCGGAATTTCTGATATTATTCTGCCAACGGAGTCTTGTAAGGTAAATAAGGTTTGAATAAGGTATCATTTTCTGGTTGTTTTATGGAGATAGATAAAATTTTTTATGGAAAACTGATGATTTGGATATGAAAATTCAATATTTTATCGTATTAGACAGTAAACTTAAGTATAAATATATGTGCTTATATAATTCTTATAATAAAATGTGTTCTTTCTAGGTAAAATTACCTTTTCAGATTTGAAAAAACGGAATGAATATGTTAAACAAAGTTTTTGATGGATGTAAATAATATAATTTAAGCTTGTTTGGTGATGAGTGATAAATAAAACCTCAGCATTTATGATTAATCACAGAAATTTACTTTTGAATGTTTAAAAACTTTTTAAATACTATAAAACCCCATGTTATGTGATGACATTCTGCGTTGCCTCAACATATATGAAAAATATCAATGAAATAATATCAAAAAAATTAGAAATTTTGAATTTTTAAATGAAATTCTACATTTTTGTCACCATTTTTATGAATATAGAAAAATTTTGGAATAAATGACATGTCATTTTTATAGTTATATTCATTTTTCTTTAGGGCTGTACAAAATCGAGAAAAACATTGCCGTGCGGTAATATAGGGTCAAAAAAATCGCGCCTCGGCGGCTCCGACGCCTCTGCACTATTAAGTGCGCATTATATTTAATATGTCCTTCTTTTTTTTTCTTTTTTCTTCTTCTTCGTTTCCTTTCCTTCTTCCTCTCCTTCCTCTTCTTTCCTTCTCCTTCTCTTTTTACAACAACGTCGAAGATCTTCGAATTTGATTGTTGGAAAAGCATCTATTTCAGATAAAGGATGCCTTTCTCACAGTCAACATACGAGGGTCCTGGCTGAAACGTTCTCAAAAAGCCTGAGATGGTAATTCTCTGATCACTCATAGCTGGGCAGGTAGTCATTGCTGACAATACCTGTCTTTATGCATGCACGCTTTCATGTATATGGGTTTACACTATCAATTCGCAAAGTTGTTCCGAATTCTTCCAAAATGGAAGGACCCAAAACAACTTTGCTTGTTAACGATACAGACGCATTACTTTGCATTGATACTGTGCTGAGTTGTGTAGAAAGTTTGATTAGAGTTGTTTCGTTCTGGTATCTCTCATCTTCTGATGAGAGAAATCAAAGCAAAACAACTCTAATGAATTTGTTTTCACTCATTTGTATGTAGGTTTTTAGTTCGATTGGAGCTGCTTCATAATGAGATCTCTCATCAATTGATGAGGGAGATCATAACAAAGCAGCTCTAATGTATATGCTCGTATTAACCGGGTTGTAATGCGTTGTAACGTCAGCTTGTAGTTCGTTTGGGGCCACTTCACATTGAGATGAGAAGAAATGATTAAAGGACTCTGAAAGGCTTTGGCCGTTGATGTTGTAATCGCATTACTTGGAACTAGCTGGATGCTAAGCTGTGTAGAATGTTCGATTAGAGCTGTTTTGATATGATTTTTAGTTAGTATGGCTTAGTTGGGTACGGAGGCACTGCGCGCCTCCTTACCCATGATATGTGAATTTGACACTTTACGAAACCGTTAACGTATATTTTACAAATCAAACACAAAAACAAACTTAACCTTAAATATTTACAAACCCACCAACCACTTCACCTCACTAACGAACTCACTAATGAAAAAATAAACGTTCTCATAAATTTTCTTCTATATCTTCATCGTCAATGTTAACTCTATTGTAGTCATACTTGAAGTCATAAAGTTTCTCAAGTTTTGAAATGCATAGTCTTGTTAACTTACCTTCATCATAAGTTTTTATAAAACTACCATGACAATCTTTATACACAGTCAATGTATAATCTACTGGTCTAGGATGAAGTGTAAAGAACATGTTATACTCAGGAAGGAAGAATAAATGTTTAAATGTATGTTTGTTATATTTTTCGATTTGTATGAGTTGCTTTTGTTCTGTCATTTATATAAAAATAAAATAAAAATAAAATAAAAAATAAACTTAAAAATTAATGATATCACCACCCTCACACGTATGAAAACATAGCACAAAAATAAATTTAGGTGAAGTGGTGAGATCTCACCTCTTTTTTCACCTGTTTTTTCACCCTGTTGAATTCATTGCTTTATAACTCTCTTCCTTTCTCCAACTCTTCTAACTTCTTCTTAAGTTCAGCAATGTTGTCCTCATGAAGTTTAATCTTTCTCAAAATTCCTTCTTTATCTAATGGTTGCTTTATCTTTCTAAACTGAACTCTACCATCCTTCATAGTATGAATGTAAAAACCTTCTGGAATAATTCCTGATTTAATGTATTCTACCAAAAACTTTTGTTTCATTGCTTCAGTGACTTTATTTGTCATTTCAATCAAATAAAAATTTTAATATTAAATATAGGGTGTCCAAAGGTGTGTTTAGCACAAACCTGAATACTGCGAATAGAAATAAACAAGTTACATATATATAAAGTTTATTTAAATATAATCACCATTGGATTCAATCACGCGTTCGCAGCGATCGATCCAGGCTTGAAAGACACGCTTTAAATCATCATGAGAAAATTGCTCAAATTGCTCTCTTACAAAATTTTCAAGATCATCTGGACTCGCGAATTCGCGTCCTTCAGCTCTCTTTTTTAGCGTGCCGAATAAATAAAAGTCAGAGGGTGCAATATCAGGTGAATAAATTGGGTTTGGAACAACTTTGACATTGTTTCCACCAAGTAATTCATTACCTTATGACTTTTGTGAACTCTTGAATTATCAAAATGAATTGCAAACTTTTGTTTTTGTTGTTTGGATTTCTCAAACTCATCAGAATTGATAATTTGAGTAAGAACATTGTCAATTAGATACTGAGCATTCATCGTATTAGGTTTTTGAAGAATATCAATTGCGATGATGCCATTCACGCCCCAAAAAACCGACAACATCATCATTGGTGTGTCAATTTTTTTCTTCGGGAATGTTTGCGGATTTTCATCCTTCGGGATCCACATGGTTTTGGCTTCTGTTGCATATTGAAACCAAGACTCGTCCCCTGTTACTAAAAAGCGAAACTTCTTGGATTGATACGCACCCAATATAGAGAGGAGCTCTTTCGAAGATTGGACTCTAGATTTTTTTTGAACTGAATTAAAGTTGTGCGGAACCCAACGTGTATACGCTAGTTTGTAGTTCAAATAATTGTGCAGATAATAACTGACTGTTGTACGTGGTATCTTTGTCATCTCCTCTATCCTTCTGAGTGATGCTCTTGGGTCTTCATCTAGCGCTTGAAGAATTGCTTTGATTTTTCTTTGATCCGGCGATTTTTTGTCAATTTTTATGATGGGCGCCTTTTTGTTCATGAAGTGATACATCCTAACATGATACGTTACAGTGGAATAGCTAGGAGCATCCATACCGAAGCATTTTACCAATGTCTCGTAGATTTTTTTACAGTCTTTGCATTTTTTTGCAAGAGCGAGGATGTTTTCTTTATGATTCATTAAAAAAATGAAAAAAATCCCGCCAAAATTTCCCGCGAAACCGCCTCTTGTCTCAAAATTCATTTTATATCCCGGCATGGCGCCAAAATACAACATACTCATCATATACATATATTCATATTTTTTATTATATATTTATAATCAGCATATATCTCCTTTAATAGTCTCATATAGAGCGCTGTGCTAAACGCACCTTTGGACACCCTATATATATTTCGGCCATGAAAAAGTAGCATCTAAGTGAATTAAATTACACTCCAACGCCAAATTTCCTGATTCGCTTGGAATATATATATATTGTAAACTCCTGAGTATTGACGTAAGTGGTGTTTGTCAATAATTCTTTCCATCTCCTCAGAAGTCTTTTGCATTCCTGACTGTATAAATTCAACGATGGCATAATATTTCCTCACGATTTATTTGAGGAGTAGGTTCTGGTTTAAATGTTGGAGTCGGTTTAGGAGTTGACTTTTGAACAGGAGTTTGTACTTCCATAGGTTCAGGAGTCATTAAGGTTTTGCTTGTGAAGGCGTTGGTTTTGGCGAAGGTGTTGGAGTTTGTTTAACTTCAGCTACTTCAGTATTATTTACAACATTTGCTTTATTTCTTTTCAACATCATAACTGCTCCTGCTGTAGCTAGCAAACCTAGTGGGAGACCATATTTTATATAAGGACTTGACCAAATGCTATTTTTGACATGAGCTGGTGGAACACCTAACCTTGGTGAGACTGCTCTTTGCCATTGTGCAGCTCGTAAGAAATATTCAATAAGTGCTCCATAATTGTTTGGTAAAGTTTGTTTCATAGATGGTGAAGGTTCACGAGAGCTTGATGAAGAACTCATTTATAAGCTTTAAAAATAAACGTTCATCCTTTATTCCTCACTGTCGTCCGTAGCTAAGTTATAGTCGTCTAATCTTATTATTGGGATTCCATTAGCACGCACCTGAATGGCAAAGCAACAATCCCTCATAAATCCAATAAGTGGCTTTGGTACATTTTCAGTTGCTAGTTCAATAGGTCCTTTAACAGACAATTTGTATGTTATTGGAGCAGTAGATGTTTGACCTTGCTGGAAGCAAAAGTCCACTTCTGTTGGAAAACCACATAAGAAATGTGTGTTGTCATAGCTATCCCATTTATGTTCCACACTACCATCATCCACCAATGACCTCATAACATCTTCATTAAATCCTATCATATCATTGTTTGTATTGCAGGCGTTCGCAACCATTTCATAAAATACAGGTCCATATGATTTTTCGGGTTCTGCAGGCATATTTCCATAAGCTCCCATGGAAAGCTGAAGATATTTAAACTTAGGGTTCTCAAAATTAACATAATAGTTGTCTTTCTTTCTAAATAGTGCCCAAATACTTTTAACATTAATAGGCGTATAAGCTGCTGTAAATGTTGCACTTGAACTATCTGTATTCTTTGAGAATGAACCGTCCATAGGAATCCAATCCATAACTTTAACAGGAAAACATAAAGCCTCGTTTGTATAATGTTCTACAAGTTCTGTATAAATGTTAGGGTCTAAAGAGAATGACTTTGGATGAATGAAACATTCATTAAAATCCATCTTTGTTCGAAATAGTTGCTGGGTTACAGTTGTAATAGTAACTGTTCCACTAGCTTCTACTGCCTTCGTTATCATAGTGAATGGTTCATTCCATGGAACAAATTTATTTGACGGTGGATTTGAATCTGAAGCAAATGCAACTTTAAGAGTTGGATTGAAAGCAATGATATCATTTACAGATATAGATGTGCATTGTAAGGCGTCGCTACTGAACTTTACTTTAAGCTGAATGTTTCCTGCAAAAGCTGGAATAAATCGAATAGCTTCTAATGGAAGGAATCTTCTAACAGGAATTCTTAAACGAAGCTTAAAATCAAATGATTTTCCTGCTGTAATTGGACCACTAACAATTTGTCCTGTTCTGCATGTTCCCGAATGACTCCATACATCTTCATGTCGAGTCTTTGAGAAAACATCTACTTTCTTTATTTGTTCGGTAGTTTGTGAGTTTGAAGTTATATATGCTTCTTCTCTTGCGTTGTCTTGAGAATATACGATACGACCATTTGCAAGGATTTGATATCCAGCAACTGCATAGAAAGCGTCATCGAAACAAATCCAAAATCCTGGTGGGTTTGTTTTATTGGAACCTGAACCAATTTCTTTATCTACAATAAATTGACCTTCCATTTTATACGTAATGAATGTATTGTAAAGGTCCAACATATTTTCACCAGGAGGTGAGAGATTGAATGTTACCCATGTGTTATCTTTAGCAGTTCCAGGTTGTGATGGAATCTTTGCGTCAGAATATTTTCTATTAGTGTCACCAATTTGAACTGCATTGTCTATGATATCGAAATATGAGCGAATCTGATGAATATGCTCTGCTGGAGTAAATTCGTTTAGCTGTTCGTTCTGCATGTATTTACTTCAGATAAAAATATCTATTTACTTCATTATTCTCACTCTTCTTCTTGGCATTCGTGGTGGAAGTTGTTTCTTGACATTTTCAATGAACTGTACATTCTCTTTTGTCTCAACTTCTTTCACTGGCGGGTCAGGATTCTTTGACTTGGTTTGTTTTTCAATGAAATTCACGAACTTTGCAATAAGCTCTTGGTTCGTTATTGAAAGTACATCTGGCTTTTTTTCTTCTGGTTCTATTGACTTTTCAGTTTGAACAGAAGGTTTTATATGGGCTTCGTGGACTTCACCCTTGCCATACACCTTAATGTTGTCGCTTTCTGCATTCGCTAATGGAACCTTTCTTTTTCTTACGTATATTTTACCATCTTTACTCTGACTTACGTAATAGAAAGGATGTTGTATTCCTCTTGCGTCATTTAATATAATAGACTCTCGCTCTGATTTTGACAAGCTCATTTTACATCGGTTAAAGTTTTAATTTTGTTTTTTATCTGCAGTCAAATGACTCAGACAAGCCCTACGGACAAGACCCAAGGGGTCATAGATGTTGAAGCATTGAAGAAAGAAATTCGTGAGCAAATTTTATCCGAACTGAAGGAACAAAAACAAGAACAAAAGCCAGAGAGACCAAAGAGAAAACTTAGTGAAAAAACAACTTGCTGCATTAGCTGCTGGAAGACAAAAGAACCCACGTTTGCTGGCGAAGAAAGCTAGAGAAGAAGCTGAAGCAAAAGCTAAAGAAGCTGAAGCAAAGAAAGAGTAAATGGTTTATTTTTATCCGAATTAAATGTATAGACAAATACCTTTATCTGTTGCGTTCAGTAGTGAAAACCCTGACGTCAAAAATAAAGGGGAACAGAGTAACGTTTAAGTTTCCAACAGACTGGATTGTGAACATAAATGAAGAGAAGTACATTGGCATAACAAATATGTATATAACACGTGCTTTCAGAAAGGTTGACTTTATACTTCAAGTCGAGATAGAAAATGACGAACAGTCTTTAAGCGCCCAAAACATTCACATATACAAATACTTTAAAGACGATACAACATTGCAACAATGTATGATTTCATTTAATGAGATGTTCGAGAAAAAGTTTAACATTGAAGTACAAACTTTACAGCCTTTACGTGAGTTTCTTGCACAACTGAAAGAAGAAGGTAGTCAGCCACAACTTATAGACTTTCATTATGAATTTAATGAAAATGAAGATGGAACACATGACTGTCAGTTTGTTGTATTCTCACCATTCAATGAAGTCGCTAAAGAGAAAGAAAATCATTACGTATAAGATTTCAAATCTCTGAACCAAGTGATGATTTCAAAAATGTTTTCAATTATGATGCAATGCTTCGAGGAAAAATGAATTTTCAAAGATTGTAACACCTGGCATTTGGGATAGAAAGCAAGCTATATTATATTCAAACTTAAGTAAGGGAGTTGAAAATGAGTTCATTGGTCATACAAGAACTACACCACTGCCAAATCCTAAATACTATAAATTAACTGGCTTCAATCGTGAGTTTTGGATAGACATGTTCTCCACTCATGACCATAACTGCCCAGTGTTCTTACCTCCAGACCATAAGGACTGTCTCTACATTGAAGCACAACTCTTAAACTCTACCATCGCAGTATTGTAAATGACCACATGGGCTTCGCCCTTGCCGCTAGCGGCTTATTTTTATCACGAATGACCTCATTGCTGACAAAAATAAATGACCTCATTATTTTTCTCATTCATGACCTCAGAACTTAAGCTTTCTTATGAATGAAGTCTTAGTCTGAATAGAAAAGTTAAACTTCTCTTCAAAGCAAGGTTGACATGACTTACATAAGTCAAATCCAATCTCTTGACCGTCATAAAGTGCTTTGTAAAGTTTCATTAAACTGAACTCAGAGTCTTTGTCATATGTTCCTTGCGGAACCATTAAACCTTTATCTTCATCATAGAAACACTGAACAGAGTCAGGAAACATTTCATTAGCGGTTAAAGCAATAACATCTTGCTTCACGCCTTTCATTCTGCAGTGAAATGCAACTTCATTTAAATCATTCGTGAGTAAGTCTATGTAAGTCTTCTTTCCACAAAATATTGACTTGTATGCTAAACTTTGTTTATCTTTTGTGATTTCTGCAAAGTCGCTATGAAATTGACCAAGGTTTTTACCAATGAGAACTCTTCCATAACGTTTCTCAAACTCTTCAGCTAAACGAGGGATATCTTCATTGTAGAGATGCATACTGTCCGTATCGCTATAAAAGATGTCCATTCCTAAGTCCTCAGCAGTACAGAATACTTCACACATTATTCTCTTCGACATAGACAGAATGTTAACACCAAGTGGACAGAAGTTAAAGTGTCTGCAAATGCTTTTCGTTAGCTTGAAAATAGTTTTATCTGAACCATCCAAACCTTCGAACTTCACTATATGGTTGTAGTTTCTGATGGCATATCTTATAGCATCTTTGTCATTTACTATGGTTATTTTTGACTCAATAGGAGATAGAATGGTTTTGCCATAAATACTGTTCAGAATGAGCTTTATATTTTCTTGCAAAGGATTTCCTTCTTTCTTATACTTTAACCTTAACTCAAAACAACTTCTTTACTTCATCTCTTATTCTAATATCTCTGTTTCCATCGTAATAGTATCCTTGCAACACTTCACATTTGACACCTTGATATTTTATGAGGTCTTGTAATGTTATATGGTCAACATACATTAAACAGCAAGTGTTTGAACTTCTGGGAACGTTAAGTTCTGGATTTAGTTCAGGGTCACAAACTATTAAAGGAAAGTGTCTATGTATCCAATCTCTGTTATCTTAATGAGAACAAAGAAGCCGGACATAAACTTTTCACCAATGGGTTCCTTTTGGTCGTCATCGAATAAATGTCTCATGAGATACTCTATGCTTAACATTTCTTTCTTCATAACCTTTGGAATACCTTCTAAAGTATAAAGTCTTGCTATAGCTGATGGATATAATGAAACAGCGTCAAAGTCAGCAATGAGTTTCTTTTCGCTCTTTTGTTTAATGTTATCTGACAGCATACATCTTCCACCTTGAATACAGCGTGAAATAAATTCTCTTGGTTTATTTGAGAGGTCATATAAATTTCCATTCGGGAAGTACACTCTGTTCTCAAATAATTTGTTAGCAATAGAACAAATACTAACGTAGTCATATACGTTTAAATCAAATTCTTTCAATATGTCATTGCGGAACTTAACAAAACCTTCTCTTAAAATTCTTACATCTTGTTTGCAATAAAATGTGCTATACTTTTCTAAGTCGAAGTGGTTCTCATCTATTCTGCAACCTTTGATGGAATCTATGTTTTTCATGAATGTATCTGCATCCCGGATAAACTTACATGCTT